CCAGAATAGGACTGTAGACCCATCTAATCATGTATTCCTTGAGTCAGGCTAAAGAGCATACCCTTGGTGTTTTGAGTCAGTTTCAGAGCTGCTTGAAAGTGGCAGTGATGGTTCAGGATTCCAGCTTCCTCCACACACTCGGTGGAGAGCGGTGTTTTCTGTGCCAGCCTCACACCACCAATTAACTACCTTTTGTTTTCCCCACTGATGAATGCTCTGGATGAGTCTTTTTTTTTCCCTTCTCTCTCACTGAAGGATTTCCACAGCCCCTCCTTGTTTCCGTGAAAAGCAGAGGGAGGCTCCGTTCACAGCATAGACCCCCCCTCCCGCCCCACTGCAAGTCCCAGTCCCTCCCATGGCCGCCCCTCGTAGGGGCCTCCTATCACCTAATTTCCATTTCCACCCCAACACTAGCAGTGATGTTATCTTCAGGGCCGTGTTTCACAAAGTTGTTAGGTCCGAGTTCTTTTTTTCTCTCACCTTGTAAGAAGGATTAGACTCACAGGAGTGATGTGGAAGCACAGAGCTCCCGTCGACATGCAGATGCCGGGCCCTCTTCCCGTGGCGCAGCCCCTGTGGGTACCTCCCTTCTTAGGCGACTCCTCCTGGCTCCTGTGAGTGCAGCCCAGGCGGAGCTGTTGTCACTCAGTTGCGGGTACGGGGTTCCCCCGAGCTGTCAGCCACTCCCCCCCACAGCACGACCTGCCCAGTTAGGTATAACCTCGTGCGTGAGTCACCCGCATCGGAGGAGCCAGAGTGCGATGAAATACCATGTGCTTGACGCCGAAACTATGTGAGTGACAACAGGGTTTGTTTTGCAGCGTCAGGGATGCTGCAGAATCAGGCAGCACCCATGCAGGTGCGCTCCCTGACTTCTCTGGGGAGGGGTGTGGAGGGATGCAGGAGAGAGGCTCCGGGGGTGTTCCGGCCACCCTCCTGTCCCCCCGGAAGCGCTGTATGGGGGTGCCACCATTCCTCTCCCTACCCCCCCGACCTGGGAACTGGTGTGTGTGTCAGCCGTGGCGGAGAGCACCACGTGGTCCAGGTGTAACTTGGCAATGGCAGCACCTGAACCCACCATTTTCTCTTCCTAATTTCTAAGCTAATTGCTGAGGGCCTTTGCTACATTTTTAATATGTTAAGAACCTTTCAACAGCTGGCAGCTCTCAAAATAATGCAAGTGGTGGGGAAGTGCATTCTTTGGATGGGCAAGTTGCCTCGTGTTGTGCCCCGCCCTGGCAGGTGCTCAGTTTCAATCCCCAGGAAGGCGGGGATGTGACTGTCCTTTGTCAGCGGCAGTGGAACCCAGAGGGTGAGAGCACAGGCTGCAGAGTCCCAGCTGTACTGTTTTCTCACCGTGGGACCTCAAGCAAGTCAGTGCTCAGAGCGTCCCCACCTGTAAAAGAGAATTGCACTAGTACCTCGCCCACAGAGTCGTTGTTGGCACTGGATGAGTTAATGTAGAGAAAGCACCCATTATTGTTGCTGTTGAAACAACTATTAACATCATTAGCAGCAGCAGTAGCCACGTGCCGTCCCCACCCTTCCCCCCGCAGGGCTGCCCGCTGATCCCCGTGTAGCAGGTATTCAGGCAATAAAGCCAGGGTCCCCGTAGCTGACGGGTCACTCCCTGCCACATAACCAGCTGTCCCATAATGTGTGCTCTGTGGCCTTTTTCTTCTCCGAGTCTGCCACCGGGCAGCTGTCTCTATCGGGTTTCATTCGCCTTCTAAATATAGTCCAGCCTCATCCTGCCTATCATCAGATTCCCAGGGTGTGTGACTCAGGACAGGAATGGCAGTTGAGAAATCAGCCTTCCTCCTCTTGGAGCAGGATAGTCTTCTGGCATTTGGTCATCTCTGAAGGTAGGCTGGAAAAGTCGGCTGCGGGGCACCTGGCTTTAGGGCCCGATGCAAGTGTGGGTAAGGTTCCTTCCCAGAGCAGCAGGGAAGGGAAGGTGACCCCTCTGCCTTGCCTCACTCCAGCAGTGACCAGCGGACAGACCCACTGGCAGTGGAGGGTTCGTGTCTGCATCCAAGAGGCTGGCCTGGCATTGGCTTTGGGTGTCATGGGATGCTTTGGGAAATTTGATTAAAATGTGAAAAGGATGCTTCCCAGTTAGTCGCAGAGCTGTAAAGAGTGTCTGGTGTTACACAAAAGCCAGGACCAATTGTCCATGCCACTTGGGCTATCTCTTTTTTTTTTTTTGCGGTACGCAGGCCTCTCACTGCTGTGGCCTCTCCCATTGCGGAGCACAGGCTCTGGATGCGCAGGCTCAGTGGCCATGGCTCACGGGCCCAGCCGCTCTGCAGCATGTGGGTTCTTCCTGGACCGGGGCATGAACCCGCGTCCCCTGCATCGGCAGGTGGACTCTCAACCACTGCGCCACCAGGGAAGCCCCGGGCTATCTCTTGAAGGAACAGTTTGAGACATAGTCGGCCGGGAAACTTGACGCCCTGTGTAGCTGAAGGTTCAGCTCTGTCTGATGTGGGATAGATTAGTGCTGGCTTGTTGCCTCTGAGAAGGACATTAAGGGTTCCCTAATGCAGTGGCCTTTCTGCCTTGCTCTTTTTTTTTTTTTGGCTGCACCACGCGGCTTGTGGGATCTTAGTTCCTCGACTAGGGATTGAACCCGTGCCCTTGTCAGTGAAAGTGCAGAGTCCTAACCACTGGACTGCCTGGGAATTCCCCTGCGTTGCTCATAATATGGTTTTCACGTAAGGGAATTAACTGGTCCATTGTTTTCCCGAGAAAACCAGATGGCTGCGCGGCCATGTTCACAGGGGCTCCTGAGATCTGGGCCAAACATTTGCCAATCTCACAGAAAAACGAAGAAGGCCTTACCTAGAATGCTGTGTTTTTCTCTTGGTAAGCGGGCTTCTGATGTAAAGAGCCCGAGCGGGCAGCCCATGTGTGACTTTGCATCCATCTGTCATTCTCCGGGCGGGGACAGCTCGGCCTTCTGCAGCCCTGCTGCCTACAACTCGCCCTGTCACGATCGCAGACTTTCCCATCCACTGCAGATTGTGTACTGAACCCACATATCCCCCAGTGAAGCACAGCTCCAGCTCAGAGAGGCTGCCTCACAGCACTGACACGAAAAGACAAACAGAAATCTGACTTGCCACGTTATCCATCCAACAAAAAAACCACCCAAGGGTAGAGGAATAGATATTCATCACGTCCCAGCAACTCAGCCAGGCCTGTGAGTTCAGTATTTCTAGGTGGATTTAGAAAACCTTTCCTCGGCAAAGCAGAGTCCTCCTGACAGCTCTTTTCACCAGCAGGCCAGCCTCTCTGGGTTAGAACAAAGGGAATCCCACTTATGTGATTTGGGCCGGTAGCCGGTTTTCTCCCTCTCCAGTGGTTTGTGTGCCATTGTGGAAATATGAATACTTTTCCATAAGTTAAACAGAACTTTCTCTTCATGCTGCCTGAATTTGCCTTTATCTGTAGTCAAGCTTTGGCTGCTGAGGTGGCCTTTGCCCAGGTTTAGCATGAGCAGAATAATACCATCAGCTTGAAAAGAGATTCAGGAGATGATTATGGGATGATTCAGTAGGCTTGTCACCAGAGAATGCAACTGTTATAAAGGGCACGTAGTTCGTTTTTGTTTTCGTTTTTTTACGGAATTTCTATTTTAGCAGCTGTGAGCCTGTGTGTTTATTACAGCATCTACAATAACGAAACATTGAGAGCACTTTTGTTAGTGTGTCTCGCTTCTTCCCAGTATCGTATTTTTCCAGAATGTTCTTTTGGTTAATGAAGTTTCTCTGAAAGGAGCGAGGGTGGGAGCCTTACCTGCAATATAAAGTTAAAAAGGAATATTTTAAGGAAAGCGTGGTTTGATTTGAATTTCAGCAGGTAGGGGAAACCTACTGTTTAAAATGCATTTGGAACCTTCAGCCTCTCAGATGTGGGTGGAACATGTTTTTTTTTCTTCATTGAAAAACAAGGGCTGGGCTTAGCCACATTTCTTGGTTTTGCCAAATCCATCTGAGCAGGCAACGTACTGTATAATTCAGTGAGTGCCTTGGGGATTACTCTTAGGCATAATTGTGGCAATTCCGATATTTAAAGGTGAACATGGTATGATAAAGGGTGAGCATTCACATGTGATTTTTTTTAAGAAAACACAAGGCGATGGGAGACGCTGATTCACCCATCGATGCTAACCAGGCAGCTGCCGTGACCCAGCACAGAGACCCAGCACGTGCCTAGCTCTAGGCACAGAGAGAACGGGCAGCGTGGCCCCTGACTCACAGAGTTGGCAGTCCGGAGGGGGAGGGAGAGTAGGGGCTTCTTCAAGCACGTCTCCTTGATGAGCCAACCCAGGTGATTGTTTTCACAGAGCGCAGTGAGAGCCAGGATCAGCTGGGCTCAGAGGCCTGGCACTACCCTCCACCCATCACGTGGTCTAAGTGGGTCACGTGCCTGTGTTCTTACTCATTTTGAAAACATGTGAAAACCACTTCTGTCCGCTCTGGGGATGATGTGAAGATGAGTACAGTTACGATCCACGTTTGATTTTTCAGAAGTAGAATGTTCTGTTTGTTCCTTCTTGGTCTGTTGCTTTTCTTACCTTCTTTTTCTAGCCATCGCTAGGACTTACAGGAGCAGACAGGCCTGGAAAGAGACAGGACGGTAAACTCAGGCTAGACATGCTGCTCAGGGATAAACGTTGTAGGGTAGGGTACCCATGGCTGACACTGAGAGGGCGAATGAGTTTAGGGGATGTCAGGTTTCATCGTCCTCTGGTCCACAAAGTCCAGGCTGTCTGCAGTATGTTCCTTCCTTCGACAGACTGCTGTATAAATGCATGGTGACAGTAGTAGAAGTAGTAGAATACTTGCTGTTTACTGAAAGGGATCAGAATTTTCTGGTGACATCCTTGTTTGGGGAAGTACCAGTAGATGTCTCAGGGATGCAGAGGGTGACAGTTTCAGAATACTGATCTTTCATTTTTTGGAGGCTTTATATCATTTTCTTTTTCTTTACAGAATGAAGTTGGCCTACTGGAGTTCTTCCAAAATGTGATAAAAGAAACTAGGGCAGAGCCAAAAAAAGTGACTAGTTGGGTCCTCAACACTTTTCTGGGCTTTTTAAAGCAACAGAACCTTGCCGTCAGTGAGAGGTGAGTGGGGTCTGGGGGCGCATTTTCCTTTCTGGTGAACTCTGTGTCCAGAAGCAGTTGACACAGGGCAGGGCTGGTGTTCTGCCCTCCTTCTTCCCCCTCAGGATCTCCTGACGAGACACAGACATCCCCTGTGAATGTCAGAGTCTAAAGCTGTCCGCCATCCCCTTCACATCTGAAAGCTCATTTATTCCGATCTCTGACCGTCCACGCTGTCCTTTGTACTGTGCTGGGCTGGGGACCTACAGATGAGTAAATGAGGAGTGTCCTACCTGCAGGGCATCCAGGCTGTAAGAAAGCAGACAGTCGGCTCAGTACGATCCCGTTACACCGCAGGTGTGTTCAGGCCACCATGAATGCACAGGAAGGGGACCTGCACCGAGGCTGGGGCGTCCACCAAGCTTTCCCTCAGGAGGGAGAGCGAGTTTCCCTCAGAGACCAAGCCCTGAGGAGTTGCCAAGTGGAGGGAGGGTTCCGAGCATTCTGGACCGTAGATGCAATTATGCGACACTCAGAGACAAGAGGCGTGGTGGGCTCAGGAGGCCCAGAAGCTCCAGGGTGCTCGGGAGGGAGCAGGGGAGCTGCAGGGATGGGCAAGGCCACCCGGGAGGCTTCACACGCCTTTGTCGGCAGCTGTCAAAGGCCTGAGAGCACACGCTCACTCCAGGTCCCCTCTGGGGGGATGGGATGGAAGATGGAGCCGAGGTGGGAAGCCCAGTTGGGTACCTCTTACAGGAGCGCCCGTGCGAAACGCCCTGTGCCTGGGCCCGAGTGCGGTGGACCAAGGTGCGGATAGTGTTTTCAACTCCACATGACTCGACCTCCCTCACACGGGCTTGGGGCGAGATGGAGTGGAGCCTTTCAACCTGGTGGGAGGTAAAGGAAGAGGGACAGGTGGGGAGGATGCCATGTTCCTGTTGGACATGCAGGGTTTGAGTTGCCTGTGGGACAGATGTCCCCCTCGTGGGGTGACTGATAGGCAGTCAGATACATGGGCCTGCATCTGCTGGGAGGCATCTGGGAGTGTAAATCCGAGAGTTCTCACTTGTTCAAAACTCAGCACCTGTTAACTGAGACTCTGCCCTATGCTAAGTTCTGTGCTGAGCGTGGGGAAAGCCGGTCCACGAGGCAGACGCGGTCCCCGTGGTCCTTACAAAGCAGCGAGTTGGGTGCCCTGAGAAGGGGGAGAGGAGAGCTGAGCTCCCTGCTGAGTGAAGGGTGAACGGGGCCCAGCAGGCCAAGTCCAGCACACGCTCCAGGCGTGGAGAGCAGCGTGTGCACGTGGCTCGAGGGGAGCCCGAGCGTGGCATCTCGGGGAAGGCAGGGCACGGCCCAGTATAAGCGGATCGTGGACTCAGCAATGTGTAGATGGTACTGGAAGCCGTTGGAGCAGGTGAGAGCTGTGGGGAGGATACCGTGTGACCAGGCCTGAGACTCCCTGGACTACCCAAGGAGCATGGGCAGGGAAGGAGGGACAGAACCAGGACCATGGGTGTCATAGGAGCCAGAGAAAAGGAGAGTGTGAGGAAGGAGAGAACGGGCAGCAGGTTTAAATGTGGGTGTTCATCAGGGACACACAGGCAGGTGGCGCCCCGCGGGAGGCCGAGCTGTTCTTGGGGAGCATCGTTGCTGCAGCAGTTCCCACGGCCATATGGGGAAGCAGAGCCGGGGAGACAGGCGTGTGCTGACTGATACGTGAGTCCAAAGAGTCGTCTGTTCGGAGAAGTTACCCCTGTGCGATGCTGGCTTCATGTTCGGCCTCTTGCTCGCAGTGTGTTTGCACAGGTACCCGTGTGGCCATGTGGGTCTGTTTCACCTCCTCACGTGGCTTCTTACAGCCGTGACCTTGGATGAGTCGCCCTCAGTGCCGTCACTGTAAATGACAGTGATAGTGCCTGCCTCCGAGGGTTTTTGAGAGGAAAACACACGGCGCCCGTGGGCCCTTAGTGTCCATTTCCTTCTCTATTCCGTGATGGTATGTGAGGTACCAAAACGATGTCCCCCCCTTCCCGCCCCAATCCCCAAACTCCCATGGCATCTGTTGCCTGTTTCTTTCCTTCTTGTCCTCTCCGGTTTGACCTCTGTACTCAGAAACTTCAGTCTTCACACTGAAAAGCCCGGGCCCATTCAGGCAGAGTTGATGGAGGAGGTATAGCTGTACCAGAGCCTGAATGGCTCTGGAGAGGTCTTGGTGAAGGAGGGGCCAGGAGACATCTGTGAGGAACCAGGGCGTGGGGATGGCGAAGAAGCAGCAGCTTTGGGGAGCAGGGGGAGCATAGCTGGGAGGAGCAGAGGGTGGAAAATGGCAGAAAAGTACAGTTGACCATATGATTGGGGTCGAGCCGGAACATGGAGGGTGTGGAAAGTCGCGGGAGTTGAGCCGTGAATCCAGCACTGGCTGTAGAGCACCCTCTGTGCGGAGCTCGTGGAGAGCCAAGCAGGACGCTGGCCCGGCCCTTAAGAAGCTGTGTCCCGGGGAGGACTGGACTTGTGCACTAATGCTTTTACCTCAAGGCAGAATGGAGTGCTTCTTGTTTAGAACTAGTCAGTGCGGTGCAAGCAGAGAGGGACGAGACCACGTTCACCTGAAAGGCTCCGGGAAGGAGTGGTTGGAGCTTTGGGAGGAGATCTAACTCTTAGCTTTAAAAAGCGTTTTCCATGTTGCTGACTGATTGCTAGAGTCACTGAATTTCAGTCTCAGCAGAGACCTGAGCTACCTCTGGTTCAGCTCTTTCATTTAGCAGAGGAGGAAATCCAGGCCCCTAGAGGTAAGGTGCACAACTGCTCAAACCGGAAGCCAGCCCCCTGACTTCCAGACCAGTTTCTCTATATGTTGATCTGTGACGTGAGGGGTTTGCTAACAACCATTTTAGGAGCTTCTACAGGAGCTGAGATTGATAAATTAGACTGTCAGGGGAACTTGGAGCCCCTGGTATTTATCCAAACAATTCGTAAGCACTAGAGTCTTAAGAACTCCAAGGGGGGGCTTCACCTGGTAGCGCAGTGGTTAAGAATCCGCCTGCCAATGCAAGGGACACAGGTTCGAGCCCAGGTCCGGGAAGATCCCACATGCCGCGGAGCAACTAAGCCCGTGCGTCACAACTACTGAGCCTGCGCTCTAGAGCCCACGAGCCACAACTACTGAAGCCCGTGTGCCTAGAGCCTGTGCTCCGCAACAAGAGAAGCCACCGCAATGAGAAGCCCCACGCACCACAACGAAGAGTAGCCCCTGCTCGCCACAACTAGAGAAAGCCCGTGCGCAGCAAGTAAGACCCAACACAGCCAAAAATAAATAAATAAAATGAATAACTTTATCAAAAAAAGAAAAAAGAACTCCAAGGGCACCAAACTCTAAATAAAAGTGTGCTTGGTTGTTCCAAAGTCAAGGAAGGAGGAAGCTAAGCAACAGTTCTGTGCTAGAGTTTATGTAGAACAGGAACTGAACAGGAAGCAAGCTCTGTGTAGCAGCTCTCACAGTCTACACAGTTCAGACAACCACTGCCTGGGCTGCATATACCAGCCTCACCTTGGAGCAAACATTAACCAGTGAGCAACCTCGGCAGCTGGGCTAACGTTTCCAAAGCCTAGAAGGGCAGTAGCTGCAAAGCTAGCAGTAGTCTCATGATGACACCAGGCAAGGGACACTCCAGAGATCACGTTGGCAGGAAGTGATTTTGCAAGTGAGCGTTCATCTTTAAAGACCTCTCAGAAGACTGGTGTTTAAAGGGTCTGGCCAGAAAAGTGCTTGTTGAACTTGGCTTTTTCATTATTTTGAGCATATTGCTTTCTTGGTTAATAACTCATAGCTATTCATACCAGATTTGATTTAGTTAGGAAAGTGGAAGTTACTGATTCCCTGACCAAATATTTCCTGGTAATATCAGGCAGGTGCAGCTGTCCAGTTGTTCACTCCAGCCGAGGGCCTGAACTTGTGGGTCAGCTGCGGGCAGCAGCTCCTGAGGCACTAGGAAACCAGGGAAGGCCTTTGAGCTGAGAAGGGGCTGAGGCTCACAGGAGGATTAGTCCGGCAGCGTGAGATGCGGGGCAGCGTCCAAGAATGGGATGTAGGAGGTGGGAGCCTGTTAGAGGTCACAGCCGCGGGCCTGTTTGTATACAGCCTGTGAGCTAAGGATGATTATTACCTCGTATATTTAGAAACCAAAACAAAGAAGACTGCATGACCGAGACCAGGTGTGTCCCACGGAGCCTTAAATATTTGCTCTCTGGCGCTTCCCAGAAGTTTGCCGACCCCTGGCTTAGAACATGTGTGGGGAGACGGGAGCCCGGGCCACTACTCGCCAGCGGGAAGAGGTGGAGGAGGGCAGTCAAGGAGGGAAAAGAGACTGGAGGCCCAGGGAGAAGGGGTTTTCTCAGGGGGTGCAGCAGGGTGGGAAGCTATTATGTTTGGTAATTAGTGAGGGGAGGTGATTTTAAAAGAACAGCATCTGCAGAGGGATAGGGTTGGGATCCAAACAACACGGGCAGACAGTAGCCACTGATGCTCTTCATTGGTAAAAAATAATAATAATAAGGTCAGGCAGAATCAAGTGACTGCAAGACCACTTGGAGGCACTGTCAACACAGGGCAGATCTGAGCGCTCGTGAAGGTGTGGGGTTAAAGCCGCAGGAGGGAGGAACCCGGCGTCCGAGTAGGATGCGTAGCAGTGGCAGGTGATGCAGGCAAGAGCGTGGGTCCAGGGGGCTGTCTGATGGAAGAGGAGGAGGCGGGCACCCCAGAAGATTCTGAGCCTTCCATCAGTGGGTGACCTTATGATGCGGGAGGTGAGGGTCCGTGCTGAGAAGGGGCGTGGGAAGGAGACGCTCTAGAACAGCAGCTTGGGTGGGAGTGCCAGGCAGGGGCGCTGGGACGTTAGCGAGGTGAACAGAAGGATTGCTGAGCAGCCGCCTAGGTGTCCGTGTCTCCCTGTCTTTCTCCACGAGCCTCTGTGTCCCATGAGCTTGGGCCTAAAATGAGCTCAGGGGTTGCGACAGGCGGCACATTTCACAGGAACGGGGGTGGCTGTGGAGGTGTCAGGGTGTCTGCTTCCAGAATCCAGGCTGGAGATAGAGTCGTGATCCCATAAGAGCTCTAGGGGATTGGGTGAAGTTGGAAGGCTTGAGAGATGCCATTTCCCCTTGTCTGCAGATGCGCCGGGCTGGGGATGGGAGACTAGCCTTCCACGTCGGGCTCTTCTTTAGTGGAGACACACCCACGGCCCAGAAACCAGCGTGATCTGACAGCAGCCAGTTGTGCTTCTGCTGCTGTTCTGTTCCAAATCGGCCGATTTATTTATTTAACCTGATGAGGGGGGCCTTTCAAGGCCAGGGTGACAGGTCCTGATCTTTGTCATCGTCTTACTGGAGGTGAGCCCTGGCACAGCTGGAATTAGTAGACACAGTGTCCCAGTTGGGGGGAAGGAGTCTGTGACACAGATACTGCTGACCTACTATGTGTCGAGCACAGTGGGTACAAAAGGGCGATTGAGAAATCCCAAGTCAGTGGAGGTATTTCATAGTGAATGAAGGTCATTGGATGAAAGGCAAAGTATTTTTAGTCATGCTGTACTCTATTTCTGTCCTTCTCTGTCTTCACATCCCTTTATCATCAGCTCACGTGGGAGTGGGGACCCTTTTGTTTGCAGGCTTGAGAAATCTAGTTCAACCTCAGTGCTTATTACAGGTTCTACACACAGTCTACACTCTAATTGGCCTTTATGTTTACTAGGATCATAGAACATCCAAGAAACCTGAATTTATTTCGGGAATTCTTTATTACTTGTCAATAGGGTGGGAAGTTAGAGAAAGGGTGTCTTGATTTCCCAGCCCTCTGCCCCTCGTCCTGCTGAGATTTAATCAGGGTGGTCCAGACACTCTGCAAACCTAATATCCTCTTGGAATGATCTTTTATCCATACTTCGGGATAAGCAGACACTTGCAGGACAGTGGGCTGCCTCTGTGTGTCAGCTGCCTCACGTGAACAGCCCTGTGAGGTTTCACTGCACCTGAGTCAGACCTGGTGCACTTGCACTCGGTTGGCCTGGAATTCCGGGAAATTGGAGTAGGGGCTGAGCGGTAGTTTCCTTTTTACTATCGAAGAGCTTAACAAAGAAATGAATAGTGAGTAATGGGAACTGAGACTTAAACAGAAGGTGTTTTCAAGTAGTGTTAAACGTTCCAGAAGCTTTCGTTTACACAGACACACTAACGTGCTATTTATAAGTCGTTCCAGTCTATTTAAAACTGGTCCCCTCATGACCTCAGACAGACAGCGTTTCATTAGCCTAGTCGCTGCATGTGTTTAAAAGTAGCAAAACTATGTATTTTAAAAGAAATAGTCTGTAATTCAGTCTTTTCCACTAATCCTAGGCACTCACCGCCCCCCTCACCCCAGAATGTCAATTAATGACACTTTACGCCTTTGGTTGCCTCTCGTCCTTTTATATCATGGGATCTTGGCAGATAAGTCCCTTCCTAGAAGTGTAGGCATAATGAATTCCAGGCCCTTCTGTGAGAAGCTGTTGCGAGCCTGCGGGAGAGAGCAGTTTGTGGATGCCCATGAGGATGGCTGACGACATGGCTGGTAGTCACTGCGTCCCTAAAAGACAAGTTCTTACGATTAAAAAGAATTTATATTTGCACAAAAACACTCGAAAACTGGCCTTGTTAGCTGTTCTGTTTGAAGTACTTCTTAGGCTGATCTTTCAGTCGAAAATATTTAATTACTGGGTTTTGGTTTTTTCTCTTCTCGTCGTGGTTCACGAATTTTGCAGCCACCTCCTTTTTTTGACTAATTAAACTGAGCAGTTGTCTGTCACTACAACTTCTGCCAAACTGCGGTTATTGCTGGGTAGTAAAATAAAGAAAAACAACACTGGTCACAAAAATGTGTTCTGTCCTAAAGTACAAGATAACTAAATAACATAGAGCCTAACTGGCCTGTTACTTCTGTTCCTGGGTGTGGATTGAATTATTCAAACCTACAAAATCACGTGCTTTGATTTTAAATAACCATAAATGCATACACCGACAGAGTGAAATGTACATGTTTCTTCTCTCCTTTTTGGGGCTGCTAGTCCTGTCACACCCTCTGCCCTGGCTGAGCTGCTTGACCTGCTGGACAGGAAAGCCATCTCTTCATCCGCAGCTAAACAGGTATGTCCCCACCTCCCAAAGGGTCCGACCACCCTGCCAGCCCCGTACATGTTTTATGTGAAAGTCAAATGCCATCACTAAGTGCATTTCATCTTTGAAGTATTAAATGCTTCTAAGGGCTATTTTTATACTGAGAGGTAGAAACATTTTATTTAGCAAATGAAATAAAGCCAGTACTATGTATGACGCAGGTAATTTGCTTCTCATCTTTGCTAACCAGACGGCGTAGTTGTTTGGCTTTGCCCGGAATGTTTCCCACACATTTGTTTATGTGAAAGGTGGGCCCTGAAGCTCCTGGGGGCTTCGGCCTGTGCGCTTCCCCCGTGCCCTGTGTGGCCGACACTGCTCCCTGGCCCTTTTCCTCCCTCTCCCGTCCTCTGCAGCCTCCCACCCAGTACCAGGGGCTCATTAGTCTTGTCACGTGGTTGCCCCTGAAAGTCAGTCTTCCAGCAAGAAGGGTGAGGCCAGACAGACTGCCTCCCACTTAGTAGATCAAATTTAACAGACAGGCCCAGTGTGTGAAAACCCAGACAAATAGCATCGTCATCAAAGGCGGCCTTCCGCCTCATCTCCAGCCCCACCTGACAGTCTCAGGTGGGCGCAAGGTCCCTGGAACTCAGAAAACTCTTACAAATAAGCACCCGGAAAGATAAAGAACACCAAGGCGGCCGCCTGATCTCGACTTGAGATATCACAGCTGTCAGTTCTTCAGCCAGTAACTTAATGTTATTTTAATGGTGCCTTTGGCGTTTAATATTTATACATGTCCTCAGTAGTGGCAGGTTACATAGTGAGGCTTTGGAAAAGCGCTGCTTTTGGCTAATTACAAGGCACCATGGAGCATACACCCAGCTCTGTGCTGTGAAACTGGGGATAGGACCTAATAAAGGTTCTGTTTACCCACCACCAAGTGAGGCTGTCAAGTATAGGGACTGCGCCACATTTAGGAAAGGGTTTTGGTTGCCTGGATGTCAGAGGAATACAAATGTTTATGAGAGTGTTCAGCAGTAGCAGAATGATTAGATGGCCGGAGGGCAGAAAGAAACTGTATATACACATAAGAGCAAATGAATTGTTGCATTTCAAACCAAAGAGGAAAAAACCTTCCCCTTCCTACTCCTTCTGCCCCAGCAAAGAAAACCTAGTGCAGATAATATGTTAGGTTCAGAGGGGAGAAACTAGAACTGCGGGGGGATGCTGACAGCTGGGTTCAGACAGAGATAGAGACATTTTTGGATTCTGTTGGCTTCTAGCGTGTTTAAAGGAGGTGGGGTGAATCCTGGCTTCTGTAAGGCAATCACAGAACCAAAATAAGAGTCTGATTGTGTGTCCCATGAGGGCATCTCCCTTATGCACCATTGCCTTAGGGGATTTGCTTTTTAATTTTTCTACCTTGTTCTGTTTTTTTAAAAAATCACTGATTTTCTGGTGGGAAAAAAATGGTATTTGTTCATTGTAACAACTTAAGTAATGCTGAAAAATATAAAGATTTTCCAGTTCTACCACCTTGAAATAACTTCCATTAATACTGGGTGAACGGGACTTCCCTGGCCATCCAGTGGTTAAGACTCCACGCTTCCATTGCAGGGGGTGCAGGTTCAACCCCTGCTCGGGGAACTAAGATTCCACATGCTGCACGGCGTGGCCAAAAAATTTTAAAAATTAAAAAAAAAAATATTGGGTGAGCATCATCCCAGGCAGCTTCCTGTGCACACATACAGTTAGCAGGGTGGATTGTGGGCTGGGCAGACAGGAGGTTAGAAAAACAAGGCTTTTGAAAATAAGAGGTTTTAGTGTACTGTTTTTTAGTTTTATTTTTTAAGAAGCCTACAGTTCATTGGTTTTTAGTATAGTCACAAGGTTATAACCATCACCACTATCTAATTCCAGAACATTTTCATCACCGCAAAAACATAACCCTGCATCCGTTAGCAGTTTCGCCCCATTAACCCCTTTTGCCCTAGGAAACTGCTAATCTACTGTCTGTCTCTATGGATTGGCTTCGTCTGGACATCTAAGATGAATGGACTCATACGATATGTGGCCTTTTGTGTCTGGCTTCTTTCACCTAGTGTCATGTTTTCAGAGTCCATCTATGTTGTGTCAGTACTTCGTGCCTTTTTATGGCTAAAGAGTATCCCATCGTGTGGGTAGAACCACATTTTGTCTACCATTCATCAGTAAGTGGACACTTGTGTTGTTTCCTGTTTTTGGCTCTTATGAATAATGCTGCTGTGAACATATATGTACAGGGTTTTGTTGGCGCATATGTTTTCAGATTTCTTGGGGCTGTACATATAGGAATGGAATCTCTGGGTCATGTGGTAGTTGTATGTTTAACATTTTGAGGACCTGCCAGACTGTTTTCCAAATGGGCTGCACCATTTTACAGTCCCGTCAGCAGTGTGTGAGGGTTCCAGTTTCTCCACATCCCCGCCAGCCCTTGTAATTGTCCTGCTTTTTGGTTACAGTCATCTCCTAGTAGGTGTAAAGTAGTAGCTCGTGGTGGATTGATTTGCATTTCCCTGATGACTAATTACATTGAGCGTCTTTTTTATTTTTAGAGTCTACTGTAAAATGTAACACATAAATGTGTTATAATTATTTTTTACTGAATTTGACAGAGGAATCCAAGTAGGCCTTAGGTTTTAGAAACCCTGTGAGGCAGAAGGACTCTGGTTCCATTGGTTACTGGTGTTTCCTCTGACAGAACTGGAAGAGGTCCTACTAGTGACTGAATAACCAGGAGATGAGAAAGAAAGTTGACTGAGAAAATGACTCCTAAGGATGACAGATACGCAGAAAGAGTCATCCTGCCCTGAGAACGTTCTGAACTCCAAAGACTCTCCCACTTTACGTCTAATTTATTATTAATCCACCTCTTGCCATCCGGCTCTCCTTTCCATGACTGGCCATTATTTTCATCCCTGACACATTTCACTGCACCTTGCCCCCAGGTGTCCCAACAGTGCTTCTGAGGTTTACAAACCTCATCCTCTCAGCTCCCTGGGCCCCAGGGGAGTTGAGAGGTTGCTGCCGTGAGGCAGCCCTGTCTTTCAGAAACAGAAGCTCAAAGATTATTTATCACCATGAGCAAACTCCTGGTAACTGTAGACAAAAGCACCCAGGCTCCTCTCACAGGATCCGGTTCTGTCTAATGAAGTAGCCCCCGTCTCCTCCCCTCACCAAGGACAGGGCACACCAGACTCCCACCTGCAGAATCACAACACCCCTGCGGCTAGCATGCCAGGGTCCTGAGCCTCTGGGGACTCGGAGGCCCCGGGCATCGTCCAGACTGCTGGCCAGCCAGGCCCCGGGGGAAATCACCCCAGATGCCTACGTGTCTCCTCTGTGCGAGCCTGGAGTAAGTGCAGACGGTCCACCGTCTCCCAGGGATTGTCCCTCTAGTGCTTCCTGTGGGACCAGGCTGGACAGGGATTCCACAGAGATGGAAGTCGAATTTTAACATGCGAGTGTGCCATTTAAGCAATTTCCTCCTGTCTACTTTGGGGTCTACTTTAAACAGAAATCACCAAAAACCTTTTAATATAGAAAATGTTACATCGTGCAGTAAAACTTACGAATGATTTGATGTCTTTTTCTCCGTTTTAGTGCGTCAGTTCTTTGCACATTTTCCTGTGCCCTGCTTCTCTTAAGGGCCTAGATTGACGTCTGTGCCTTTCTAGAAGAATGACGTTTCGTGATACTTGCCTTTGCCCAGAGGGACCCCCTCTCTGTCTGTCACCGCTCCCTCCCTGCCCTCTCCCTGGAACAGGTCTTTCCGCCACCCTCTGACCCTGGAAGCCCCAAACAGGCAGGGACAGGCCAGGAGCCTGTGTGCTCTCCTTTTGTCCTTCCCTCCAGATTCTTTAAAAATAGCTTTAGCTAGAGAAATGGTTGGGTAGTAGTTAGGAGGGTGTGTGCTCAGTCACCAGGAACTGAAGCCTGAGTTTCCACCGCATGCGTCAGAGCTGGCTTCGGTGGTGGGGGTGTGATCGGGGGTCCCCAGCTTGCAGCACTCCCTACCCCGGTGGCCATTTATTAACCCAGATGACCGGCCCTGCACCAGGACCCCCTTGTGATGCGGTCTGTCTTGGGTGAGCAGCTGCAGGCCTGGGAGGTGCACTCCTGGCCAGAAACAATTGCACTTCGATAGCACTTCCCAGGGTGGTGATTAAACACAGACAAAAGCTGAGGATTTATGCCGCAGCACGAGGTTGGCAAGCACAGAGCCACGATGTTTGCAGCCAGGAGGCCGGGGGAGGCCGCAGAGTCTGGCTTGGAGGCAGCCGGGCCCCGTATAGTGGCTCCCGCCCTGCTGGGCTACAGCCAGGAGGGCACAATCTGTGCCTTAAATAGGAACAAGCAGAGGATTGGATTCTGGAATCCACTGTGTCAGCCCAGGGGTGCTAACTGGGGAAGTGAGTAAGCTGGTATGTTCTAACTCTGGGAGTGGGAGAACCCTGCAGCCACCGGGCACTTGCTCCTGGAGGCTGCTGAGGTGTGCTTCCCTAGGTCACTCCTTGGTACCCCTCCCCACTCTTTCAGGGAGCAGCCAGCCTCTCTGCATGTAAAAGCGTCGTCCCAGCATTGTCCTGCTTTTCCTTCTGAAAGGTGTGGTTTGGCCTTGGTCCCTGACTGCCTCAATTGCCTTCATTCTTGTTATTTTGGCCCAAGCAGATCCAACCAGTGTTTGGGCCTGTCGGGTCCCAGGTGTACTGGGTGCCAGGCAAAGGCTGACCCCTGGGCGGCCAGCTCAGCTCAGCTCTGCACTTTCGGCTGCAGGGGCCTGTGACCGCCAGGCGTTCAGCTCCTCCCAGGCCTGGGCTGCAAGCAGCATCCACACCTGCCGGGCTTTCCTGTAAAGAGTTGCTGTGTAGCTTCTCATCAGTCACTCTTGCAGGTGACTTCTGTTATAAGCTAGGGATCTGGTCTCGGGATCTCCATTCTCTCTTCCTGAATGTTGGACATTTTCAACTAGAAACTTTTTTAGGAGACTCTGCAGATGAACAAAATAAACACTGGTCCGAATCTACCAGTAGGGGGTCATTTAAGTAAATCATGATGAATATTGGATTTTTTTGTTAATACAAGAAAGTACTTCTGTAATCAGTGAAACAGAAGCAGGTTACAAATTGTATATGTGCTGTGATCACAATTATGTTACAAAACAGAAAGAAAACCATGAAAGGGAAAATACTAGAATACTAACATTGGTCACCTTGAGGGGATGGGAATTGGGTAAGATTTCTCTTTGTCTTTTCTGTATTTCCTTCCGTATTTTCTACAGTGAACACATATTAAATTTTATAATTAGGAGCAATGTGTTAAAATTGTAGGTCTTATTCAAGAGAAATAAATCTGTCAGGGAAAGGGGGCAGAGAAGCTCTCCAGACGCTGAGTCTTATCCGCATCACAGATCGTCTGTTCTCCGGTTCCTGTGCTGTGGGCACGCCATCAGTACGTCCGCTGAGAGCAGGGGAGGTTCTTACCTGCTGTGTGCCCCTTTCTCCTCAATGCCTTTCTCATTGTCGGCTGAATACACATTTGAAGAATTGAGTTGGAGGCACTTATGTTCAGTATTTTTCTAAGAGCGGGGACAGGTCTGCGTACGCGGCCAGGGCTGTGTGGTGATCGCCAGAGTGTGCCCTGTAGGTGCGCTTTCGGAAGGATGCCCCACACGCCTCTGGGCCACAGTCACCGTGGGCGCCTGACAGCCAAGCTGAAGGCACACTGCTCTGGGCAGAGGGGCTCGTGGCTGGAAAGTGCTCAGTGCTGACTGCTGGCTGAGATGGAGGCTAACGGGATCCCCTCCCCTTCCAGCTCACACTAGAGAAACAGGCACTGTGGAAAACTGCCCTGGGACACCCCTTCTTTACAAGTGTCTTCCTTTTTTTCCAACTTTATTAAGTTTGGGAATTGGTTATCTCTTTAAGTAGAAAAATACCCACACCGTCAACTGCTCATTATCCTAGCCAGGTTCCGAGCCACATCCACCTGTGGGGATGGATGTGGTAAGCCTTGGGCCCCAAGGATTGTGATTTATGTTTTTCGTTTCCATTCTGTATCTTCATTATGGGCTCCTCTCTCGCCCCCTCCCTGAAAAAACTCCTGTTTCCCAGCAGAGGCCAAGTTTTCATGACCCCCTCTAAGTGCAGTGGTTCCCTTTTGCAGCCCGTGTGGCCCCATCCTTCACCAACATGTCACTGCAATTAATTAATTCCGTGGCACTCCCGTCAGCAGGGGCCCTGTGAGTGATCATCTTCTCACACTCCCCGCCCTCCCTGCTGTGCCCTTGGAGTCGGCGAGTGGGGACGACCCGTCTCCGCCAGCGTCTCCACCGGCAGGGTCTCCGGCTCTGTTCTGAGGGCACAGCTCGGCGCGGGGAGGCCCCGGGTGTGTCTGCATGCAGCTGGGAATCCACTGACTGCTCTTCCACCCCAGCAAGTGGAGCTGGCAGAAGAGCTGACCCCGCCTCTCTCTGCCCGCAGGTGTTTCAGGAACTGTGGAGGAGTAAGGGCAAGACCCCAGCACAGATCGTTGCAGAAAAGCAGCTTGAACTGATGCAGGATGCAGAGGCACTGGAGCAGCTCTGCCGCTCCATGCTGGAGGCACATCCTCAAGTGGTACTTAGCCCCTCGGGGGAAGGGGGTCTTCACGCGCAGCGGCAGGTGGGCAGGGGGTCGCCGGCAGAGGCCCAGGGCCAGGGCCGCCTGAGGACTCAGCCAGGAGCCCCTCTGCTTCTCCCCCTCGCAGCCCAGCAGTGCTTCCTAATAATGGTTGGCCCGGTTTCATCAATAATCCCCCAGTTATTTTTGTCAGTTTTAAGCTAGAATCAAGAGATGAAATTAGGTGACTATTGGAAAAATACAGCTTTTCCTAGAAGGAAAATCCCCCCCGTGGAGCTTGATCTCATGGAGTTTCGGTTGAAGGGGGTGTTAGCAAGTTTCGACCTCCCAGGCCTGCGGCCCTCTCCCAAGGTTGCCGAGCTCTGCTTTGTAAGAGGACCTCTCTATCAGGAAGCAGCAGGCAGCACTGCACAGGGGCAGAGACAGGGAAACACTTCAGTTCCGTGCCTTTGAGAGCTGGGAAGAAAGGCAGAAGGGAAAATTATTTGTAAATTATGGAGAAAATCCTTGACAGGAACATAGCTGGAAATCAAGTCATTCTGTGTTCTGAGCGTAGAACACAATAGAAGAGCTAAAATGAGGCGCATCCCTCCCTCCCCAAGTCTAATCATATTGTCCAGAGAGATTTTTCATTGGGGAACAAAATTGCTAGCATCCCTTTCAGAATGATACCACCTGCCCATCAGCTTGCGGGGACACTAACAGCTCTGTAAAGAGCTCTCGATAAGGAAAATGAGCTTGTGCAGGGTCTCGGCAATCTCCATCTTCCAGCCTCATCTGGAGTGACTGATAAAGACGCACTTTTAGTTTCAGACTCAGAATGCAGCACTGCGCAGATACTCGCAGACGCTGTTGCCGATCAGAAGCAGGAGGTCGGGCGGGTGGCCCTGACGCGGTGGCTGTTTGACAGGCACTCAGCGCCCCCTGCCCCAGCCCTTCCAGCCTGCCAGCCAGGCACTCCCCCACCAGAAGCTCGGGGAGCGTTGCCATCTCGTGGCTTTGTCTTCTAGCGAACGAGCTTCTTGGCAGGGAGTCAGGGGAGGAGAGCCCGCTGAGCCCCTGCAGGGTCAGGGGCTTCACGATCCGGCACCCGGGTCCTGTGCACCGGCTTCTCAGCTGTGACACGTCACAGTCCTCCTCACTCCCTTCGAATCAGGAGGCGGGGTAGCAGACACCTCCTTTGCCAGGAGCCCAGAAACCTCCTCCGAAGGTCACCGCCTCCCCTGTTTCCTTTTCTCATTCTATATCTAATACAGAAAAAAGAAACTGAATTTAAGTTTCCATAAACGTAAACTTGATTTAAGATTTTTAGGCGAGAGCCTCTATTTTCTCCTCTAAAATAATTTGTCTTTAAAGGTCACGGATGTAAAGAAGGGAAACCCCAGGGCCATAAACAAACTGATCGGGTTGGTCCGAAGAGCGACTCTCGGCCGAGCAGATCCAACGGTGATAAAGGAGGTGCTGGAGAGGCAGCTGTCGTCGTGACAGGTTCGGGTCCCCCTGCCACGGCCGGGCTGGAGCCTGTGCGCTGACGTCCTAGGCCCCAGCCAGACGCCCCGCCTGACCTGCGCCTTGAGGTGCAACCTCCACGCAGACCAAGCCTGGCGCCATTGCTTCATCGACATCACACGCTTCCGGGGGAGGTGCAGCAGTGGTGAGAAACAGCACGTCCTAGTGCGCAGTGACGCCGAGCTCAGTGCCACATGCTGTTTCAGATACCGTCACCACCCTAGGAAAACGTTTCATTCCGCAGGTCCCTCAACAAATATTTTTAAGCACGTGCTAAGGGCCGGGCGTTGTTCCAAGTGCTGGGGATTAGCAATGATGAAGAGAGGCCGTGATCTGGATGCAGTATTTTGTTTGCGGCGCTCTCATTAGTCTTAGTACCAGGAATAAGTATTCTCCCATCCACTGAGTAAAAGTGATGTTGCCCATTCAATGCCCAGGGATCCCAGAAGGCAGAGGTCTGAGAATAAATGATTTATTTATTTTTTTGGTTAAAAAAAGACAACAGAAGTTTTCAAATAAATTTAATGAATAAAATTTATATTGAAACATCACATAAAAAATTAACTTACACGTCGAAGATTGTGCAGTGGACAAACCCCCCTCCCCACCCTCAGACCGAAAAGTTTTAAAAGGCGGAAAAAAAGCTGTAACATTAAACTGATTTGTTTTGCCTGGAAAGAATAAGATGGTAAGCTAGTAAATCAAAATCTTGACCTTTAATGGTAACTGTGGTACAGTTAACAGTAGTCCATGGAGGCTGCGTTGCCCTCACCCCTGTTCTCATGGCAATAATACTATTTCTCTGTCGCACTGGGGCACCCCTTTGTTCACTGCACGCCTTTGTTACCTCTGACTCAAAACACTAAAGACCAGTTTTGCAAGTGCTGTTTTTTAAAAGCACATGTCAAATAAACTGTGACATAAAAGAAAATCATTGGAGGCCCTGATTTTACACTGAATTCTCTCTTGTACTAAGAAGAGCACAAACACTTCCGTCATGAACGGTGCTCCAGTGGTAGCTGGGGACCCGGAGAAGAGTCACCAACTTAGCAGCTCGTGGTTCCTGGTTGCAGACGATCGCTCAGGACTTCCCTAACTAGGAGTAAAGAGAGGACTGCCCCTCTTCCCAGCCAGAAAAGCAGGGACCAGTCATCTGGCTTATTTCAGACAAGCATGAAGAGGTAAGGTTTTTGAAAAAACTAACTTTTTTAAAAATGAGTGACTTAGAAGTGTTAAGAAAATATGGTACGTTACATCACCAGGAAGCCGCGTGCCCCTCGCGCATCCCGCTGCAGTACTGAAAACTCCTGGGCCTGACAGTAAAACATTTTCATCAAACCTCTTTTCGAGAGAGAAAGGCAGAGCCAGTTCCCACCCCCCCACCCCGTGGCTCCTGAGTCTGGAATCTGGCGGGATCATGATTTTGTAAGAAATGATAAGATTCAGTTTTGTTTTACAAACTCCATTTTCACCAGAGGTCTGGCTTCTTGGTCATCAACCCTTACAGAAAGCACTGGACGATCTTTCCAGACCATTTTAAATCAAGGGCTTACTTAAGTGGGGTCTGGGAGGGGCGGGGACAGCCAGATGAAGGCCATTTACCAACAATATCACGTCATATGTAAACCGTCTTATGGACTGATCATTTCGGGAGAAAAATGCCATTGCTGGGGTCGGGGGTAGAGGGAGGGCGAAACGGGTAAGGGGGTCAACTATGTGGTGGCAGACAGAAACTCAGCCTTTGATGGTGAATACACTGTGGTGTATGGAGAAGTCAAAATATAATGTTATACACATGAAACATATAATGTTATAAACCAGTTACCTCAACACACAAAAAAGCACTGGATCTTTACAATGCTAACTCATCCAGCTCTGACAACTGCCTGTTGTCTTGAAGACCCACTTCTGAAATCCTGAAAATGAGATTGTGGTGTTGTAACTGCTCATAGAAAGAAAAAACGTATCAAAGCACAGCTCAGATATCTTACCTGGAACCTGACTAGATATTCAAAATATATGTTTATCTAACACCCTAAGAAATTCACAAAGTATGGCTCTACTTGTAACTGGGCTTCAGTGAAATACAATTTTAAATACATTTTTGCATGATTGTGAGTTTAGTCTGGTTCTCTGTTTGCTATTCAGGGGGGAATCTCATTGAAATGTATGAGTTGGCACCACAGGTGAAGCCAGTGCCATCTGTCACTGGAGCCTGCACACCTGGAGGCTGGGAGGGCAACGTGCTGGAAGACTGGCTCTCCCGGGTGCCCTGTGGCTTGAGGAGGGGGTTGGTTGATCGGCTGGTTCTGGGGGGAGGGGAGGGGTGGCAGCCGCAGCACTCGGCATGCTACCTGGCACGGGATCCGTTTTTAGCAAAAGTTCATTAAGTTTATAAAGCAAAATTAATGGACAACCTTTTGTGGGAGTCCCTCTGTATGAGGGGTGGGTGCTGCCATCCACTAGGCTTTTAAACTCTGGGTCTAGGAAGGAGCTTCTTGACTCTGTCCAGGCTTATGCATCAAGGTGAACTTCTGTTCCCATCTTTTAAGATGTAGACAACCCAGGGAAAAAAACTTGTCATTATTTATACCAAGTTAAGGGTGTTTTTAGCTGAGCTCGCTCCATCCCTTCTTTTTGGTAATTATGGCTAATCTGGAAGAAGGCTATGAATTGTTTTCAAGTAAGCACTCTCCTAGAGCTTTGCGTTGGTTGGTTAGTTCAATATATAGCTTACGGCCAGGACCCACAATCCATATTGTGTTTTTCATGTCTATTGAATTTAGCCACATAATTTCAAGGATTCCACATAGGACTATTTGAAAAAAACGACTAGATCTATGTGAAAGGCCATGTTATTTTACCCACCACCAAAAGCAGCATGGAAATGGCTGTCACGCCTCTTCAGTAGATTTTAGACAAATTGCATTTGTGGATTATTTGTGAACAGAGCGGACCCTCGATGGTGAGATGGAAACCGCTGATTGACATCCTCTCTTGTTGTCTCCCTTCGTCAGACGTCTTAGCAAAAATCCTTTAAGTAATATTGTCAACACCAAATAATCTCTTTTAAAATATCTGCAGGGCAAAATGGTACCTTGTTACAGGTGGGCCTTTTCTAGACTTGTCCCAGTAAAAAGTCAGCTGCTGCCCTAAGAAGCACAGACTTCTGCAGCCTCAGCTCCATGAAATGCATAATCCGGCCTAAGAGCTGCCATAACCCTTGTCAGGTTCGGAAAGCACACAGTAAATCTAAGCCTCCCCAAAGATACCTGAGATATGTATGGGACGCATGCGGGCAGACCTTGCTGGCGACCTTGTCCCTTGTGTGGGTGACAGGAACAAACTTCACCATGATGACAGGACAGGAGGGGCGTTCCCAGCTAAAATCGGCCCCTGTCTTAGGATTCCAAGTGCAGAGGCCAAAGAACTTTGCCCCTGTCGCTCTGGTCCCTACAAAGCCTCAACGAAAACCTTTCACTGAAGCCCCCGTTTATCCAGTTAATGAGCTGCCAGGATGATCTGTCCTCCAAAACAAGTAATGGCCTAATAAACGCCTGAACGTAGAGAGGATTTATTGAGGCAAAATTATCCCGAAAACAATGCTCAGTCTTTTGAGAGCTCTTTCTAAAGCGTTAGGTTTATGACGATCATTCAAAAAGGAAAAAAAAAAGTCAGCTCCATTTTCTTAAAATGTTTCCTCCGTGATGTGATTTAAGAAATGGAGTATCAACCGGTTTGACAGTGTTCTGTCTTCAGCTGTTATCTGATGGAGAATGAGTGTTGTGTGATTTACAGTCTGATGGCTGAAGCGAGAAGGGGCCAAGGATATCTTCTTAACGACTTAAAGCGTTGTGGCCTCAGCTACAGAGGGCTGCTGTTCAGGAAGAGCTAATACCCCAAAGCTGGCTGGGACGCGAGGGGAGCCACGAATTACCCCGGCCTGGCCAGTGACTCGAAGTAGCACATGCAGTAATAGCTGTCCCGCAATAAAGTGTTTCATACAAATGGCCAAGGGTGCCAGCCATCTCAAATACACGGCTGGTAGGTAGCAATTACATTGGCCCATCCCTGCGTGAGAGCTGGGTGTGCGCTGCAGACATTCACCGTCACACCGGTGACACGTCCCACCCCCGCCGGGGCCGCACTTCCCAAGGAGAGCAGCCCAGGCACACGGACCCACGTTCAGAATGGGCAGCCTACCCACAACCCCAAACCTCTGAACACAGCTGGAAACCCACCCACACTGACCCTGGCAGCCAGGCTGATTCCGAGACATCAAAAATGACTTTCAACCCCGAGTACCATGGGCTGCCCAAAATGAACAGGTAACCTGAACAGTCACGTATCCTGTCTCTAGATTCTACTCATAAGAGGATGCTCTCCTGACAACACCCTGGAGCCAGGATGTCTCAATGGACTGAAAATCAACAACTGCATCAGACCTAAGTACAAGCCACTTGATGAGGAAAAGGTACCCCTGAGGACCCACGGAAGAAGTGAATGGTCCTCCCTACACGTGACAGAGGCATCGATTCCAACCCCAGCTCGTCAAAGTATTTTACTAAGTCAAGTGGGGACCATTTCACAGTTCCTCTAAATACCAGGGAAGGAAAGGAAGTACCTACTAATAAAACCACATCTCTGAATGGTTACTCCATTTCATGTCTGGGAATCTAATTCACTCCATAAAACTGTATTTTAGGCTAAACTCGACCTGGAATCGCTTTCAAATTTTAAAAACAAACATTTTTAAACATTTGGCCCCTTCCAAAAATCAGTTTTAAGTATCCCAGTGCTCTCCTATATTTTGAAGCGCAAAATCCACTCTACCTAGAACTTTACGTCAGACTCTGAGTTATGAATCAAGGTGAAGGATGTGATGCTCCAGGAACCCGTGACTCACCTCCGCTGCCCGGGGCCACCAGGCTCGACACAGCGACGCCAACCTCAGGGGCTGCACCAAAGCCCGTGTCCACGGAGTCCTGGGGGCCTGTCGCATACAAAGGCATCCACGCACTGGCACATTTTAAAGCATGCCAAGTATCGTTCAAAATCCTTCCCCAAACTCATCGCAAAAGAGATTTCTAAGGGTGTCACCTATTACTTTATGACTAGAACATTCTACTTCATTACCGAGACTTTTCCCATCAAGGAATTCCCATCGCCACCCCCTGCTGTTCAGTATCTTCCTATCTGCCTAGATCAATGTTCATTCCTCCAAACCCCCCAGGATTTGTTCTTCTCCTATTTTAGCTTCCGGTTTCTGCTGTGTTCCCTCTCGCATGTCCACACCACCCCCAAACCATCCTTAACCTAACCCACCTGGCTGTTCCCCTCAACTGCATGGGTTCACCAGTTCCCTAGAATATATTTCCAGGCCCATTTTCTGACTTCATTTTGAGAAACGCTGGACTCAGTACTCTGGTGGAGGGCTGCAGTGGTTTCAGAAACCGGAACCAGCATCCACCTCCAAATAGGTTGGGTTGTCATGTGGGTTTGCTACCAGCACCCCACCATGGGAGTTAGTTAGTTAATTTTCCTGCCTCTCACCCCACACCGGTCATCTCTGTCCTCCTTTAAAGCAAATCTACTTTTTTTATAAGTACCTACTTAAAAAAATACTCTTTCCCAGAAGATGCCTTCCACAAAGGGGACTGTGGTTTTCTATAATAGAGCAACATGGACTCAAGGAGAAGAATCGACACCATCACCAGATAATGGAGAGACGTGGAAATCAGACCAGAAAGCTGAAGAATACGGCTCTCAGACGTGACTTTAGCTTCCTATATACCTGGTGAGTCCAAACTGGAAGATACATACTTGTGCAAAGCAAAGTTGGAGGATAATACATTACAGCTGAAACTCATCTTCTGTTCCTTTCTCTCCATCTCTGAGCCACTGACTTTTCCAGTAGAGACACTTACGCAAGTGCAAGTGGATGTCGGGAAGCCAGGAGCAGGCCAGTCCGCTGGGCCTCGCACGTTCTGGCTGCTGCACCGCAGCCGGGCAAACCATCTTTCAAGACAGACAAGTTTGAAGTCAGAAATGTACAACGAATCACTATCTGGTTCCTTGCCTAGACTTGCAAGCACCGCGAAGCGGGACTCCTGAGAGCCACCCAGCACCAGCCAGAGCTCCTGAGGCTTCATTCCAGGACTGGCTCACTCGCTTCAAGATCCCTGAAACACAAAAGGCAGCCTCGGCTCTGCAGCATCTCAGATGTGCTTCTCTCCTCCACGCCCTTCCTGTACTAGGGCCTGATTGATTAAAACCAGACCAGTGCTCCTGAGGCACCACCACCAGCCCTGTGACCACCCCCGGGGCTCAGCAAGATGCCCACAGAAAGAACAGAGACCCGGGGCTTCCAACTTCCTTCCAAACCGGGTGTGTGTGTGGGGGCGGGGGGCGGTCACCCTGCTTACGTGCTTCTCACCTGCCCACAGTACAGGAGAGTGGAATCTAATATCCATGAATATCAGTCGTCTATTGTCTCATTCTTTTTTAGCCCACAATTATTTTGTGTGTTTGCCCCTCTCTCTGTGGTAGGAAGACCATGGCTCTAAGTATAATTACACCTGGCAGAGCAGGCTGCAGAGCAGAGAGGCACTAATACATCACGGTGGGGCCTCGTGATGAACCCCATGACTCAGAAGGCAGCGTTTCTGTGTGGAGTGAGGCCCCAGCAGGCACTTGGCTTGGCGGGGCTCCCCGCGACCTGTTTGCCTTTGCATCCTGGTTCCCTAAGTGGCTGTACAGTTCCTGTTTCTCTACAAAGTGCAACATATTAGAAAAAGCAAACAGATTTTAAAATAATTACCAAGGTTTGTACAGATTGTATTTAGTTTACTTTTATCCTTTCCCCCACACCATACCCCTCCAAAAAAACCCACTATGAGACAGTGTCACAGATGAACCAGTTTGTTTTTCATAAAACACTTAAAAAAATAATGATGGCTGTCTTCTTACATAAGCATATACCACGCTTTGTTCACACCGATCAAAGTCCTAAAAGCCAAAGTAACATTTTGCATAGGCATAGTTCATCTTGTGCAAATCTTACTAAAGTAAGGCTATTTTCAGTGTTTAGGTAGTGATATACTGAGCAAAGAAAGCTCTCGAGCAACAAGAACGTTTCCCTGCATTCCAAATTCTCTCCAACTACATCTGACTTCCCAGGCAGAGAGCTGAGACCAGTGGATTTGCCTGCGCTGTAAGGCAACACGTGTTGGGCGGAATACAAGTCTTGGAAGTAAAATGCAAAGGGACGGATGCTGTGTGCTTGTGTGACGGAGGCAAGAAGGGCTCCATCTTTATTCTTCTCAATAAGAAGACGGAAGCCACGACGCAGAAGGCCACAGGGGCAGGTGTGCATTCTTACGTGCTGTTAAAGGGCCTTCTGAGGTGGGCACCTCCAGAAATCACTGCCTCCCGGTGTTCGCTGGGTGTGATCTAAGCTGCAAGCTGAGTGACTCCGAGGGATGGGAGAATAAGGACCAAGAACTCTGAGGAGGAAAAACTGAGCCAAGACTTAGATTCTAGGGGGTACAAGGTGGGAAGATCCGGCTGGGGAGAGGAGGCGCACAGAAAACCCCCCTCCCCCACGTATCAAGTATCGTCAGGAAGTCTCAAAGTAGAGGTGTCTGTAAGCAGCTTTGCATTTAACGTTCAGTCACGGCACTAAAACCTTAAAAAAACAAGAACCTCTATTTGAAAAGAAAAAGCTAACAGTAGCTGTCATCCGAGTCGCCCAGGATCTTGCAGCAGAGAATGGAGTGTTCCTGGGCCAAGGCAGCCAGTTCCTTCAGGAACTCGGGGAAGAGGGCGGCCGCCAGCATGGTGTCCCGCACGGGCGGGGGCAGGCTGGGGGGCACCCCGGCCACCTTGGCTCTGTTTGTCAGGAAGGGCTGAAGCACTCGTGGGGGGCCATCCAGAAAACTCCGGCCGCTCCCTGTCCTGGAGGCGTCCTGAACGGGATCTGAAACTAGAAGGAAGACAGCCATGGTCATTCCCCAGAGCCCTTTCCGCCCACCCCTTAAATGAAGTGTGTGTGTTGTGGGGGTGTGGAGTGGAGTGTCTCGTGCGGGTTCAGCTCCCGCTCTGACTGGAGTCTCAAGGCACGGCCCCCAGTCCCCCCCTCACACCACTCTGAGACACACGGATCTGCCCAGATCAGCTCCAGCACTGGGCATGTGACATGAGAGTTTGATCCCAAATCCTGTAGGAGGGCCTTCATGTAGAAACTGTGGCAAGAATATAGGTTTATCAAGAACCCTCCCCGCCCAGGGCCTGGCGAGGGGGGAGAAGGAAAAAGGCACGTCCTGCGGCCGCGTCAACCAAGTGAGGACACGGGTCACTGTGACGGTTATTTAGGGGCCTCCCAGGGTCAGGGTGACCGTCCGCCCTTTGCCAGCTGAGCCCTGACCACCCGGCAGAGCTGCCGGAGGCCACCTGGGTTACACACACCACGCCCTGCCGTCCGCAGCCCGGGCTCTGGCCTCCTGGGCTCCCTGCTGATCCCCAGCCCCTTCTGGCCAGGACTTCCAGCCTTTGTGGAGAATAGAATGGAAGAAGGCTTTTAAAGGCTGGAAATAACGGAGAGGAAGCTGGGTGCTGATAAGACCAGACTGGGAACTTCCCGCCACCGTGGGCAGCTCGTGGCAGCAGGTGGCTTGGACCTTCCATTCAAGGAAGGTTTCCAGGAGTTTCGATTTCAGTTTCAAAAATGTAGGTCTAAGATGATATGAACCAAACTTCAACATACCCAAGTGATTTGCATTTTCATATCAAATCAGTTTTACCAATTAAAATGGTTCAACTTTCCCAACTATTTAATTCCTGAAGCTCTCCGGCCTTCACATTGACAGGAATTATTTATGCCTTCTTCTGCCCCCGACTCAAACAGACTCATTACTCCTTATAAATCATTATATTCAAGCTCTTCATTATTTTGGCTGCTTTTTAGAATTCAGTCCCATTTTTCAACACTCTTCTCAGAGTGTCGCGTAACTGTGGTACTAAAAATTCTTGACATTTATAGTACTTTCCACATCTCACTACTATCGTCGTTAGTGTTAAAAAAAAAAAAAACTTCCGCTTTACTGCTTCAAATATCCTTTTAGATTAAAGCTTATCACAGTTCATGCCATAAAGAACTGGAGAAGTTGTTGAGAATCTGCTGCTACCTTTCAGCAGAAACTCACAATATGTCTTGACAACAGAATGAGGACGCAAGTGTTGACCTCCCTGAGCACACTGCCACGCTTGGGGGACCACGCCTGAGTACCTCCACCCCAGCCCTCCAGCACTGCGGCACCCGGCTCTCCAAAGGGCCCGGCGAGGCTCACTGAGGAAGCTGGGCTGATGCCGCGGGGGATGGGACACTCCGGGCACCAGCCCCAGAGCCACACTGCTCGTGCTGGTTCCCCCACCTGGCATTCCCTTGCCCGTGTCTGCACACCTAAACCTCACCAGGCTTAGACTCTGCCACTTACTGGCTGAGCGACACCAGGCAAGTTGCTTTACCTCTCTGTATTTAATGTCCTCATCTGTCAAAATCTCATGGCTGTAAGGATTAAGTGAGTCGATAGGTATGATGTACACAAGGACCTCTTGGTAAGTGTCAGCCATCACACCACCGTCAATTCAGCCGTCACTGACTTCACAGACCACTCCCGTTTCCTGCCCTGGAAGTGATCCCCTGCTCTAGCCTCCCACTCATTTTATTTACCAACTGGGGCTTGCAGTGCCCTTCAGACTTGCGTCGCTGTTTATGCTCTTTCTCCTCAACCAGACTTCCAGGTTTCTGAGAGCTGAGCCCCTAAACGACATGTCCCTCATGGCCCCTAACACGCTTCCTCATCCACAGAAGAAGCTAATAAACGTTTGCTGAATGAACGAGGGAAGGGACCGACCAACGTCAGGTCCTCCCTATACCTGATCTTACTGGAGCTGGTTCATTTCCTCATCTCCGTCTTCCTCTTTCACATTCACTCCTCTTTTCCCCCAGAAGGGCTTTGTGGATCATTTATCCAGCTCGATCCAGGAATTTAAAAAGCGTCATCGCTTAGGCTCATTTACCTAGTTTGAATCTAAGAATCAACACTGTCTTCGCTAATGAAGGCAGGCGGGCGCCCAGGGAGGGAGACGGAGGGCCAGCAGGGAAGTCCTGGCGGTGGTTCTGTCCCGTCAGCGTGGGACTGGCCCTTCCGTGAGTCAGACTCAACTCAAAAACAAGGAGACCCGAGTTATGGTCCCTACCTGGCAACTGGCTAATCATATAACGTCTCAGTTTCCTTTTCCACAAGAAGGAGATAATACCTACCTGGTCCCCTTCTAGAATTAGAGATCAGTGAAAGGACTCTGAATACAGCTAAATACTAGAAAATACCACCTCTGTGGTTTGAGGGGAAAATGAAAAGACTGGCAAGTAGCTGAGCCTCAGAGACCAATAGTCTCAAGAGTGACAATGTGACAGGAGCACAGAAAGTCCACCCGGACTTCTCCTTCTTTTGGAAGCGTTAGGCTGGTTTCACCAGGGCCTGCGTGACGGAGCAGCTCGGGCTGCGGGCGTCCATCGTAAAAGGGCCCAGGGCACGGCTGCAGCACCCGGAGCAGAGGCAGGGAGGAGGGAAATATAAGTAAACGTCAGAACTGGGAGTGGTTTCCTGAAACGTTGCCCTGGGTCTGAAAAGCCACAACAAAGGGTTTTCAAGATACTACTGGGAAGACTTGAGAAGTTAGGAGAGAAATCCGTTCCCCCTCACCTCCCTGTCAGCGGCATCAGACAAGGCGCACAGCGCACGGACGTGGACACCCCAGTATGTGGCCTCTTACAGGATTCTAGTCACTCATTGCTCTGTGTCCCGGTGAGAATAGGGCTCCCAGATTCATCTCATTTATAGGCAATCACATCACACGCAAGGCTTCAGCTTTGTACAAGGGGACGGAGACCTTCGTCATTCTGTGAGTTGAGAGATTTTTGAAGTTGAGGGGAGGGTGTCACTTTGCTAACCCGAACGAAGTTAGGAGGTTGATCTGAAAAATTCCATCAAACAGAAGTCTTCGATCCTGAGAGTAGCTTCCTACAAGTCAATGTCCCCTGAGAGTCACAGACCTTGGGAATCACCCCCCACAGCTGCCTAATTGACCACCTTACGCAGTGGGAACAAGACCCCCCTGGGCACGTATCTGGCAGCCGCCACCATCAGTCTGAGGCCAGGACAGAGCACAAGGCATGCTCACCTGGAGCGTGCAGGTCAAGGAGGCTGGTCAGGGTGTGTAGGCACCCGAGCTTAGTGATCCTGGCTGACCACCCGGGCCTCTAACTTCAGCTTCCTTCTATGGAAATGAAGCTAACAGTACCTTTCTTGCCCATTGCACAGTGCTGTTTGAAAAGTAAAACTGTCGGGGAAAGCACTTTACAAACTGCAAGATACAAGTGAAGACCAAGCCCAGAGTGCAGTGTGGGGAACGCAAGTCACCTTCTGTCTGGAAGACTGCAAGAACTGCCATAATCCCTTGCAGCTCTTCCCATCAAGAGGTGGGGGGTCTGCTTCACTCCTGCACCTGGGCTGACCAGTGGCTTGGCCAACAGAATACAGCAGAATCGACCCGGTGGAGTCCCGAGCTGGTGCCTCAAGAGACTGCGTGTGCTCACGCTCTCACTCTTGCAACCCTACAGCCATGAAGCCGCCAAGCCAGGGCTAACCTTCTGGATGACGAGAAACGCGGACCCCCATCACCACGGCCAGCAGCCACCCCCGTGAGCCGGGCCATCCCAGATGCCCAGCCGCCCGCTGACGGCAGCCCCCGAGCGAGTCCTGCCAGCATCAGCCATGCCCGCCCGGGCCAGCAGATCACCCGGGCAACCACACAGACTCATGAGCACACATGATGGCTTTGTCTTGAGCCCCTGAGCTTTTGTGGTGGTCTGTTACGCGCAAAAGCTAGCTGAGGCACCGTCTCTCCCAGGGTGAGTCACACAGTGTGCCCCCTGCTCAGAAGGGACAAGCCAACAGGCCGACTGTCCACGGGGCTAGGAGAGGCCACGTGGGGCCTGCAGGCCACCTTCCCACAGACGTGGGCGCTCCTCCCCTCCAGAGATGGCCCACCTGCTCTCATCCAGGGCCAAGGCTAGAAGCTGCCCCTCATTTCACCAGTGGCACAGGGCCCCCCTTTCTTTCAAAGTGTGCCTTGTGGTGTCCTAATGCCCTTCACACCCTGAGTCCTACAGCCAGAAAGGACTCGAGAGATGGAAGACAAACCCTTCACTTAAGAGTCGAGGAGAGACTTCCCTGGTGGCACAGTGGTTAAGAATCCACCTGCCAATGCAGGGGACACGGGTTCGAGCCCTGGTCCGGGAAGATCCCACATGCCACGGAGCAACTAAGCCTGTGCACCACAACTACTGAGCTCGCGTGCCACAGCTACTGAAGCCCACGCACCTAGAGCCCGTGCTCTGCGACAAGAGAAGCCACCGAATGAGAAGCCCGCACACTGCAACGAAGGGTAGCCCCTGCTCGATGCAACTAGAGAAAGTCCACACACAGCAGTGAAGACCCAATGCAGCCAAAAATAAATAAATAAAATTAAAAATTTAAAAAAAAAAGGCTTCCCGGGTGGCGCAGTGGTTGAGAGTCTGCCTGCCAATGCAGGGGATGCGGGTTTGTGCCCCGGTCCAGGAAGATCCCACATGCCGCGGAGCGGCTGGGCCCGTGAGCCATGGCCTCTGAACCTGCGCGTCCGCAGCCTGTGCTCCGCAATGGGAGAGGCCACAACGGTGAGAGGCCCGTGTACCGCAAAAAAAAAAAAAAAAAAAAAAAAGTCGAGGAGCACGAGGCCCAGTGAGGCCAAGTGACCGAGATCAAACAGCTACACAGAGGCAAGGTCATGCCTTCACAGGGCTGGGGTTTTTTCAGCTTCCCTCAAAGGTTTAACACTGCCCCGAGTTACACTTCTGCCTCTCACTCCAAATCGTGTTTCCGATCACATGCTTTAGCCCCGGACCAAGAGCCCTGCTCTCTCCACTGTTCACCTGCCACAAAGAAGCCTGGCTTGTCCAGGGGAGATGAGCAAAAGCCAGCGCAATGTGGGCCGTTCCCTGGCTTGCCCTCTCACCAAGGCTGAGGCCACAGCTCAGGAGACAACTGGCGTCAAACCTGCGCCAGCAGAGCCCACGCGAGGCCAGGCAGCCCCGTCCTCAGGCCTGGCCGCCGGCAGGGTCCTCAGGCTCCGGTCGGCCGCCACCCCACGCCCCCCGCCCACTTGGCCAGGCCTCCTGAGCCGATGGAAGGCGCGCTCAGGAGGGCTAAGGGGTGCCTAAACTTTACTGCTTCTTACTGCTCCAAGGGAGTGGGTTTTACCTTCCAGAGCCTAAAGCACATTCATTTGGGGCCCAAGAGTATCTGAAAACATGATAAAGAGAACGGATGCCCTCCTCAGGGTAGGACCGGCCAAAACACGGCTCAGGGTGTGCACATACCGCTCCCTTCTGGCCCACACGTGCTAAGTTATTTATTCTAGCGGCAGTCCCCACATCACTCCTGCCCTGCACTACTCGGTTAGGAACGCAAGTGCCCCGCTAGACCCTCCAAACTGAGACCAGGCCGGGTGCGGGCAGGGTAGACTTTCCTTTGGGTTTAAGGACGCTCAGGGGAGGCTCTTCCCTGCTGCTTAAAAATGGAAATCTATTGAGATGCTTTTAGGGTCCAGGAGCTGAAGCAGCACCTGTGACTCCACGTCGGGAAGCTGGGAAAAGGGAAGAGCGGCTGACCTTTGGTGGGTGCCTCAGGGCTCGGGTCGGACAGGTCCACGCGGAAGAGCAGGTACTGCTGGGCTTGGATGAGGAGGCCCGGGAAGTCTCTCTCCCCAGAGGCGAACTGCTCAATCTTGTTCTTCACAGATGCGAGGACCTGTCAAAAGCAGCACTAATGACGCTACCACCTCAGCACAGACTTCCACCCTGCATCAGGACATCTGTCAGGCAAAGGCCCCGCCGCAGGGTTTTAACTGCCTGGGTGTTCTGGGGAGGACCCTCTCGAAACGTCAAACCAAACGAAGCTTCTAAAGCTTCGCAGTTTGTCTAGACAAATCAACACAACCAGCATAACAGGTAACAGAAGGGGCAGGAGAGCAAATGGATGAGAACGGGGCGGGGCAGGGCGGTACCTGGTAGAGGGAGCGCACGCTGGGCTGGAAGACCATGTTGGTGTTGAGCAGGAAGGAGCGCAGGAGGGGCTGCGGGTAGCTGGCCAGCTGCGTGATGATGCCGATGAGCAGCAAATTCACGTGCAGAGAGTTCTCCAGCATGTTCTCCAGCTTGGACAGGACCACGCTGATGAACGGGCCTGTGGAAGGACACGAGGCTTCAGGGCCGGCTGCGGACACGGGCCATCTGTCCCGAAAACCAAGGAGCCGCCGGGGCCACCGGGTGCAGCCGACGCGGCCAGGTCGCCTCCTGCCTCAAAACCAAACCACAAGACACACCACCGCCACGAAAAGAAAGCAGAAACACGGGCGTGGTAGCTAGTATTTTGACTCCCAGAGCAGTTTTAATACTTTGAAAATTATCATAGACCTTTAAAAAAACCAGATGACCAATAATTTAATTTTTAAAATCAAAATATACTTTTCATACTATTTCTGTATCTCCTGGGGCTGTCAGTGCTCAAAAACATGGCATTCATCATCCCGCGATGCTGTGTGCTGTAGGGCGTCATGCAAACATTAGAGGCCATTAAAAGTTTTAGGGCTTCCCTGGTGGCGCAGTGGTTGAGAGTCTGCCTGCCGATGCAGGGGACGCGGGTTCGTGCCCTGGTCCGGGAAGATCCCACATGCCACGGAGCGGCTGGGCCCGTGAGCCATGGCCGCTGAGCCTGCACGTCCGGAGCCTGTGCTCCGCAACGGGAGAGGCCACAACAGTGAGAGGCCCATGTACCGCAAAAAAAAAAAAAAAGTTTTAGTAACAAAAAAATCTTCATGTCGTTAAAGAATAGCAAACACATACAACTATGTTTACCAAACAGCAGCACTGTGAACGGGGGACTGTCTGTCCCCCAAAAGCACCTGAGAAAGACTCTGTCTTGTCAGTGTCACAATGTGGAAGAACCAGAAGAAGAGAAGATGAGAGGAAAAGGTGGGCTTGGCTGTAATTTTAGAGCCATGCTTTAATTTTCAGGGGGAGGTGGGGATGAGAGAGAGGGAAGGGACTCAGTTTGGAGAGCTGGAGTTTGGTGTGTCCTAGGCTCCTTAAACAAGAAAATCCCTATCACTATAAAAGCAGTTTGTAAAAAAACAATAGGCAAAAAGAAGCTGTGACTAATCTGGGCCACTAGAAAAATAATATGCTTTCTGTTTGTGTTCACTGAAGACAGGGAACATCCAGGCAATAAATCTGTCATTACTAAAACTACTTGAAGATGTTTTCCATTTTCACCATAAAAGTGGTCCATTAAACAAAATCAATGAGAATTTTCTGTTTCCCCCAGTGGAGCTATTGATGATGTCACTAAACCATGGCATATTTATGACAAAAGCACATAACCCTTGATAAATAAGCATGTCTTATGAAGATTTCACCAACATTAATATGAGTTTAGCAAAAACATACTTCATCACAAGATGCTTCATTCAGAAGCCTTGGTTAGCGGAAGAGTTAAACCCTTTTTGTAAGAAAGCAGAAGCTGTCTGTGAGAAATGGGAACAGCAAACCACACCTGCAAGTAACAGGATAATGGCAATATTCCCGGTGCCACAAGCACAGAGGATGTCTTCTTAGGGGCCTGGGAACTCAGAAGACACACTTTCCCTTTGTGTGTTGAGATTAGCCCCAACTTCCCCATCCCTGGGGGTCGGGGACAGAGCTCCTGAGTCACTTTCCATGGCACAGGAGGTCAATGAACTCTTTGAATAGAGAGCCCTTGCTTACAAAACTGGGAGAGTTTGCCAAACACATTCGGAAACTCTGGACTGGAACCCCATTTTGAAAGCAACTTGATGGGGTTCCATCAAGAACCCCGAAAATGTCACCGGTAGCTCTTCTTAATTCTAGTCTTCCAGGCAGACAGGGGAAGGCTGCTGCTGTCCTCACTCCTCCACCCCAGACCCGGGCTTTCCCCGCAGTCCCTGGGGCTCAGCATCTATTTCCTTCCAGAGGAGTAGAGACAGGTGAATCAGGTGATACTTGGGTGGAAAGAGTCTCCTATAAAACCTGTCTCCTTAGTGGAGCCCTCAGCTTCTCTGCCATAGGCCCAGACTAGAGCTGGCCTCACCTGGCCATCCTACAAAAACGAAAGCTGCACGGTGCAGCGGCAGGGGACAAAGTCTACAGTCCATCACTACTGAGAGGGAGGAAAAAACCCAGCCTGCCCCCGCGCCCTGTGAGAGTCAGGGTCATCGCTGTCTCACTTGAACGACAGAATATTAGGTCAAGGTCAGCAGATTGTCATTATAATCCACTAACAACATTAATTACAGCTTCTTAGGCGTGTGCAGTAAGAAACATATATTAAACACTTTCAAGTTCCTGTTTTATTCTTAGTTGCTTTCTAGCACTTAAAAAAACCTCCTTAGCAAAATGCAGTTGCTACGGGAAACTGGCAAGCAGCTGAAAACCAGAAAAGTCAGCTACAATTCAGAAAGCTACAGGTGTGGGGGGGTGACGCCGGGTGTATTTTTTCCCCTTTTCTTCCAGGAAGACAGATAACTTCCGCACCTATAAAATACTGAATTTTCAGAACAACTAATACTATGGCGTTTCCTTCTCTCCCCTCAAGCCCTCTTTTCCCTGCCTCAGTGGCCCCCCACCCCAGCTCCCAGACTCCGAGGGGAGCTGCCATCACCCTGCACCTCAGCTCTGCAGAGTCCACCCTGGAACATCTCCCAAACGTGGACCGCCACCTCCCCTGCCAGAACTGCCTGACGCCAGAGACGCCTCATTTCTTGTCTGGACTTCAGCAACGGTTTTTCTATTCTAATAAAGACTAAAATGATTTAAAATTTCTCTGCTTCAAGCAGTATAAGAATATAAAGAACAGGCCTCCTCCCTGGAGGTAACCCATGTTAACAGATCCAAGTGTATTCTTCCAGAATGTTTCACATACGTAATAAGTACTAATAACTGAATTATCATTCAGAACATTTATTAATCACTTATTATGTGCCAGGCAGTGTTCTAAGCACTCTTAAAGTATCAACTTACTTAAATATTCACAACAACCCTACAAAGTGTGCTTATTATTTATCCACATTTAAAGATGACCAGAATGCCAAGTGCACAGTTAGTAAATGGAGTCACAATTTTAATTCAGACCATCTGTTTCCAGTGCCAGGACTCTTAACTGACACACTATCTTGCCTCCCAGGGTGTGTGTGTGTGTGTGTATCTCCTGGTATTTTTTTTTAAACAAATGATAAAATGACAACACTGTCTACACACCGTTCAGCCCCTTGCTTTTCCACTGCACAACAGCTCCCAGAGACCGTCCCACATCAGCACACACAGAACTGTCTCATTCATTCACAAGATATTTGGTTGCCATGGGTGTTGCATTAGCAAAACAGTCCCCTACTGGTGGACATATAGGTTATTTCTAGTCTCTTTCTATTATAAACAACACTGCAATGAACATCTTTGTGTACACATCTCAGCACATCCGTGTGAGCACAGCTGTGAAAATGTTCCTAGAAACATTACTACTGATGCATTTCAAATCCTGATATGATGACAAGTCTCTTACTTTGATCTTCCTGGCACTAACCTCTCCTCACTCCAGTGCTCTCTCCCCACTCTCCAAGGCTAGCCTTTCCAAACACGGATCTGGTCACATCATTCGCCAACTCTGATAATTCCAGGGCATCTTCAGTGCCAGGAGCACAAGGCCCCCATTCCTCAGCGTGGCCCAAAGGCCCTCCTGGGCCAGCATCAACCAATTCTGTGGCTTCCTCTCTACCCCCCAAGACCCATGCCTTGTCACCCCCATGTGCTGTCAGGCTCCTTTTCCTTGCCTGTTTTTTCCTCTGCCTGGACTGTCATTCTCAGCTCCTTTTACCCAGAAGCTTCTGTTCACTGTGCCCCTCCTCTGTGAAGCCTTTCCCACTCCCCACACAGGGCTCCCATAGGATTTGGATACAATGACGAACACATTTCTCACTAAGAGAGTATAGTTCTTTATTGACGTCTCTTCTGAAAGTCTACAAATCCCTTCATTTTTGTGTCCTTAGTACCTAGCACATAACCTGTCAACTATTAGGGGATCAATAAAAGATTGCTGACTTCATGAATAAATAAAATTAATTAGATAAATGAAATGCAATGCTTTGATTTTGCTGAGAAGCAAATTCATTTCAGTGGAAATCAGGATTCCATGGAGAGAGGGAAGTTAAGCAAATGCTGCAGAACAAACTCAGAAGTTTAGACACTACAAAGTTCACAAACGTGGAAAGAGAAAAGACGTTTCCTGAAGCTGTGTACAAGCTTCAAAGGAGGAAACAGGCAACGTTTTAGTTAAAATTACCTATACGTACCCAAATCTCAGGTTATGTTTTGGCGGTGTTCAGGTGTATCATATTCAAAATATTGATGCTATTTTATAGGTGGTGTATTAGCTTTTTTTTTTTTTTTTTGCCCTAAGCTATACTTTATTTCCTCAATTTGCATATTGCCCAGGGATGAAGCTCCTTGTATAGGCTGGCATTCTAAAGAACAATCTTAATTAGCAGTGGGTAGTCCTGATGTCTTGGAGAACACTGCAGACAAAGTAGGATTCCTGCTGGGGGAGAGTAAATGGAGCAGCCCTAGGGCAGAGTTGGGACTGAGCTAGGCTACTCTGCCCTCTTCCTCCCACCAAGCTCTCCCCACCCTCCCCTTATAAACTGGGAAAAGCCAGATTATCTAATCCTTTTTACTTATGATTGACTGATTGAATTTTAATTAAAACCCATTCACACTGAAATGTTATCTCAGCTAGACCTCAAGCCTTTTAATTGTGGAATTAAAAGCTTTCTCCCTGTTTAAATAAATTTTCAGGCATCCGTAAACAGATGAATAAAAGTTGGAGGAGGGCGGAAGAGCTCCTTGAGATCACGTTAAGCCTGCCTGGCTGGACCCAAAGATGCTGTGACTTCGTGTATTTTGGGTGATCCAAGGAGGCGGGAGCATGATCTCCGCCCACCGAGCTGCCCCCTGCTGGCCAGGGAAGGACAAGCCTCGGCTGAGGCTGCTGGAGGCTGCCTGTGGTAACAGTCATGACACGGCCCACCACCCCAGCTCAGGATCACATTTGGTCCTCCCCGAGTTAGGGCACCAAGGCCACATGGCTGGAAGCACCAGAGCCAGGAGTCCCCACAGGCGTGACTGCAAGGCCAGTCTGTCCCGCTGAGATGTTGGCTCCTTAGGACCCTCTCCTCTAACTGAACACCATTCAGGGGTCCCACCCCAGCTGTCCCTGAGCCTGAGGACCCCTCCTCTGTGCCAGGTCCCTCTGTACCACGATTTGCAGATTTCAGATTTTGTAACAGAGCAGGACCCTGTGGGGCCTTCCCAGGACAGACTCCCCTCCCCCCACCCCCGCCATGTCCTCCACCTGCCTCTTGCCTGCAGAAAAACTTTAGCCAAAGAATTAATTTAATCAGAGAAATGAGAAACTAAAAAAGCAAAGGAAAATAGTCAAGCAAGACAAAATAATAACAGTCTAGCCATGAAACCAAGTCAAGGCCCTTTAGTTCCTCCTCAAGGGCTGTAGAGAATATTCTGAGCCATATCCTTTGAGCTGTTTTGTAGATACTGAAACCCTCACCAGGTGGAAGAAGTGAACTACATGATGACCTGACTGTATCTCTGACATAAGCTGCTGCAGTTCTAAGAACTGGCCTCAGAGAAATGGGAACAAACCGACCCTGGAACTGAAGGCTAACTGTACTTAAAACAATCGAGATGACGATGCTGATCAGACCACTGCGTGACTCGTTTCAAGACGACTGTCAGAGCTGACGGCGCTGTTTCTGCAGGGAGCCCCCTCCCTCCACCTATACACCCCTGAAGCTCCCCTTTAAAAGCTCCTGCCCCCTGATCGGCAGTGGGGAATCAGCTTTTGGACACGAGTCCACCTTCTTCCCAGGTTGCCGGCTTCCTGAATACAGCAATCTTTCTTTTCCTACCGACAAGTACTGGCTTTGAAGCAGCGAGCAGCCAAACCTGAGTTCAGTGACAATTTTACTTGGGTAATAATTTAATGATAATAATTCTGTCATAATTCCTAACCTCACTCCACTTACCTGATACCCCATCCTACCCCTTTGCCTCGTCCGCGATTTCTACCTGCTGTTAGGGGTTTATCACTGGAACACAGCCACTCTTTAGCACAGTGATGAGTGTATGTGGGTCTACTCTACTTATTTTTGGATGAAGGTTTTGTGATTAACTGAAATGAGCTCCCAGGCCCAGGCAAAGGCACGACTAACCCCGATGGCCTCTGCTGTGTGGACACAGCCACATTGATTCAAGGGGTATTCTGAGTACCTACTATGTGCTCTCTCCACTGTTCAGCACCAGGGATAGAGCAGAGAACAAGCCAACACCTGTGCCCTCAGGAAGCACACATGCCAGTGGGGGAAACTGTAATTTTTTTTAAATACACGTAAAAGCAAATGCTAAGGAGAAAAATAAATTAGGCTAGAGGAAATGAGGCTATTAAATGATGAGACTGGATTTCTTGTGTGGTTTAGTCAGTCCTACTACTTTATCAAAGGCATATCAAGGGAAGTTACTCAACGGCAAAATGTAACCTCTAATTTGCTGGGGGAAAAAAAAACAAACGACAGAATAAGATAAAAATAAAACCACCCCTCCCTGCTGCTTACAAAAACGTTCCACCCCTCCGGTAGGTAAACTGATAGCGCTCCTTACCTGCACCTTCCTCACTCTCCGGGTGCAATACGTACAAGCGCTTTCAAAAGCAGAAACCACAAAGCAATTAGCGTCACCTGTGAATGGGGTGCTCTGAGTCCTCGCGGGACGGTGACCGGCAAAGGCAGCCTCATCTCTCGCTCCAAACGGGGACGGCGGGGTCTCTGCGGCAGGAGCCTCAGCTATGAAAGAGTCAAAGTCATCCCCCTCCCCTTCTGGTTCCTTCTTCCCCTCTTCTTCTCCTTTGCTCTCATTTTCCTCCTCTTCGGGCTCCTCTGTAAGAAGCAACGGATCAGGAGAGGAGACATTCTGCTGCATCAAGCCCTCGGTGCTGGAATCCAGTTCCTTAATGATTTGGTCATACTGGGCAATGAGATCTTCACCCTCGGGGTTAGCCACTGTCAGGCGTGCACCGTGCTCTGCCTCGGGGCTGGGGGCCGCTAACTCGGGGCTTGACTCCAGCGCGACTTCGGGCTCGTTCTCTCCTTCTGGTTCCTTGGACACACCGTGAAACACGTCCGAATCGTCCCTACCATGTTCCTCCTCTGAATCTGTCTCTGGCTGAGGGCCGGGCAGGGGGCCGTTGCTCACGGGGGGACCCTGGACCTGGGTCTGGGCTTGGGCTGGGGGCCTCGCGGCATCCTCCCGTGAACCGCTGGTGTCCTCTGCATCCTTCTCGGCACACAACCTGTACACCATCACGTCATCCTGGAAGTCGGACTCTTCGATGTAGGCCCCTTTGAAGAGCAGGATGGCGTTCTTCTTCATCTCCTGGATGTGTCTGGGAGGATCCACGGGGGCCGGGGGGCCCGAGTTCTCTGCATCCTCATACGGCCCAGGGCAGCCCCCACCCACCCCCGAGGAGATCCCGGTGTCGTAGCTGTCGTCCCACTCCAGCTCCGTGTGGCTCTTCTCCTTTCCGGGAGCCAGCTGGGGCCCCGTCGTCCCGGGGACCTGCTGCGGGAGGCTGAGCACAGGGTAGGTGGCGCTGGGAGCCCTCCCCTCGGGCGGGCCCAGCAGAGCCGGGCAAAGCGCCTCGGGGTCGGGGGAGTCTCCATCGTATAGGGCGGACCACACGTGGCAATCCCTTATGCAGCGGAGGATGTTGGTGTGGGCCTCCCAGAGGTACTGCAGGTAGCTGATGTCCAAGGCTTTGCCGTACTCCACGATGCAGGCCGACGGCGAGAACGCCTCGGGGGGCAGCTGCTCCGAGGGCCCTGCCCCAGGAGACACACAAGTCAGAACCGGGCAGGGGGACACAGGCAATGGGTGAGAATGCAACTCATCCGGCTGCCAAGGCTTTGTCCCACCAGCTACTTTGGTTCTAATAATTTCTGATTAAATGATTTCCAAACAATAAAAAAAAAGTTAGATTTTAACAGGGGAAAATAAGAATAGAAACTCTATCCTCGTAGAACATACAAAACCAATCTGGCTGGTCAGATACCGGCCATCACCAACAGAAGGCTGTTACTTGGTATCAGTCTTCAGAGAAACGTGAGCTAATGAAGGCAACCTCTCAAGTTGTTGGGAGTGAGACAGGCTGGGACCTGGGACCCTTTGCTGCAGTGCTGCAATGCTTGCACCTGGACACACCTCTCCTCAAGCAACAAAATACAAAGAAACTGTATGGGACTAAAACTAACTGCGTGCATACGCAGTTGGGGCAAATTCTGGACTCAAAAGATACAAAGAGAGCAAAAAACCCAACTGCCACTTTTGAAGAGCCTGGAGCAGAAACAGGGTGTCGGGAGCAACAGCAGGGTACTGCGCATGCCCCCTGCACACACCACCACCTAAGGGGTGGGCGAAACACCTAAGCCAGCCCTCCTGCCTGACCCCTGGACCTGCACTTACCCTCACCCCGTATAAGGAGCAACCTGGGCCTCCACTCAGGGAGCCAGCCAGCAAGGGAATCTGTTGTTTGCTCTCGCTCCCGCCTGTGCTCCAGCAGGAGCCCCAATAAAGCCTCGCCTGAATTTCTCGTCTGGCCTCTAGTCAACTTCTATTGATTGGGGAAGGCCAAGATCCCTGGTCGGTAACAGGAGGATTAAGTTAGGTAATATATTCAATATAGTACCTGCCACTGAGTAGGCAATTAAGAAGATTTTTACTTTAAAGTGGAAAGCCTATATAATCCATGAATTTGGGAAACAGATTTTCTCTAGAAAACCCTGGGTTTTTCGAAAAGGCTGTTCATTCATTTTGCCTTCCTGGGAATTATTGGGAATTATATGTACCGAACAGTGACTTAAGATAAAGTCATATTCACTCCCAAAATAGCCCTTTTAACCTAAGAATGCTACCCTGACTACCTTTGATGTTAAAAGCTCTCAACCGTGTAACTGAAATAGGTATGAAGACATCTGCATTTAAGTTTACATTTTCCTTTAGGGAAAAAAAAAAAGAACTCAGACAAGGGAAAACACAAACTCTACCATTTCTTAAACATCTACTACATGGCAGGTGCTTTCTCAGTCAGTGCTATCTAATTTAATCCTCACAACAACCCTACATGGCGATACTATTTTCTCTATTTACAGATGAAGAAATTTAGGCTCAGAGACAATGATCACCCAACGAGTCAGTGGCAGAGCCAGAAATCAAGCAAAAGTTACCTTACGTCAACCTCTCTCCTTTTTTCGTTCGATGCCACACCTTTCAACCCTATTCATTGTCTAAATCTCTACCTGACTGGGCCACAAGGAACCTTTAAGAATACACATTTTCACGTCGTTAGGGTGGACATAATCCATTTTTTACAGCTCTACTTTTAAAAGTTTACCTCTTATCCACTTTGACTACTGATAATATTTATTTAGCACTTACTACATACTAGGTAGTTTTCTAACAGCTTTGTATGTCCTGCATCACTTATTCTTGGAACAACCCTTTGAGGAACGCAGAAGAGGAAAAAATCTTAGAAAGATCAAGTAGTTTGCCCAAGGAAGGAGCAGAGCTGAGATTCAGAATCCTAGCTCTTACCTACCACACAAAAATCACATTATCTATCTACCCACCTACCTACCTGTGTAACCACCTATCCGTCAGGGCACTTAGCCACCGTTAAGGCAACCTCAGAGAGAGGAGAGCGGAAAGAAATGGAATTTGGAATCAGAGGACCTGTGTCCTCTGTGTAACCTTAAATAAGTCAATGCCTCACTCTGAGTCTATTTCTTCATCTATAAAATGGGAATACTGTCTTCAAAGGATTAAATGTGATAACACAGGGAAAGAACGTGGCAAGTTGCAGGCACTCAGCCATCATATGTTTAACCTGAAATTTGAATTCTGCAGAAAGGTCAGCCACAGACTCATTCTTAAAACAACTTTTTTAGTAAACAAAAAAGACATCAATTTTTAACTACGCTTTTAAAAATGACAGTTGGGTAGGAAAATATAAGATACGCATATAGTTTACCTAACAGGAAAATATACTGAAAGTACAGCTTGTTACACTGCCACATAAAGTATTAATTTCCACGATACACTGTATCTTTATTTACAGACTAAGAATCAGTAAGACAACCTTAATTTCTAAGAATTGCATTTATACCAAATATGCTGATATTTTCTTAGTCAAGTAGCTCAGCTCTTAGACAAAATACTTTTTATCGAAGAGGACTAGAGCTGGGTGGACAGAATGACACTGTTTGGGGGGATATCAGAATATAGATTGGAAACACGGAAGTCAGCACGAGGCCGGGACCATTTCCTAGTGGTCACAGGATAGGCAGACCCCTCCTGAGCTGAAGCAGCCTTCTGACCACCAAAGACACACAAGCGCCCCTTTGCTGCCTGCCAGAGGGAGGGCCACGGTTGACACGGGGGCCATTTAAATTTTACTTGGACAAGATCAGCTGTGGCTGGCAAACACCACGGGGTACTGTGGCTTCTGGGACAATAAGTATTTATGAAAAACCCCTCGTGATGTCAATCAAATGAATCATATACTCTTGCCATATCAGACATTTCACATTTTAGAATGATATATCATTGGCAGGCAAAAGCATCCACAAACGGGTCCCTTCGGAAATTAAAATAAGGGCTAATTCTGTCTTAGCTATAGCCACCCTCCACACCCTCGGCCCCATTTTGTTTAAAAAGACACATGGGTACACTATTCATACTGGACTCTGAGGATGGCACTAGGAAGCCTAGTTAAAATAAAGGTCTGGGAACACTGAGTAGGTAAGAGCTGGGTATGTCAAGGAACACTGATTACCAAACGTCCAGAACTCTTTACAAAGCAGAAAAGGACCCCCAGGTAGTCAGTCAGAAAAGAAATGGGACTCACTGCATCATTCCCTGTCTACCTAGAGACAGACACATCCAAGGAGAGATGGAATTGGGCATCCTTTTGTTTAAAGATTATCCCTCGAGAGGTCCTCCCCTGACAGGCTGGGACCTGGGACCCTTCGCTGCAGTGCCTGGACCTGGACAAACATCTCTTCGGCTCCTCCAGCAACAGAATATAAAGAAAATATAAGGGACTAAAAATAATTGTGTGCATTCACAGTTGGGGCAACCTATGAACAACAAGATACAAAAAGGCCAAAACCCAACTGCCACTTCGTGTCAGGGGCAAAAGCAGGGCCCTGCAAAGGATCCTTGGCCTGACCCACCAATTTGCAACCCCCTCACACCACTTAAGGGACCAGCTCGCTCCACCCTGGGGAGCAAACAAGGGAAGCTGTTTCTTGTTCTCCCTCCCTTGGGCTGTAACACGAGTCCCAATAAGGCCTTGCCTGAATTTCTCACCTGGCCTCTATTCAATTTCTATTGATTAAAGGATCAAGGACCCAGGTCGGTAACACTCCTACCTGGACTCTCATGCGTGCACTTTGACCAGAGAATATAATCCCTCTCTTGGTTCCCAAGCGTCAGGGTGATCCCGCTGGAGCAGCAGACGGGGGTCAGGGCGAGCAGCCTGGCCGCAGAAACAGAGTAACAGTCTCTCTCCTTCACAGCCCACCTCTGACTCAGCATCATGTGATTGCAAGGGATCAGATACCTGGAAAGCCAAAAAGGGCCAGCGTTCAGTGTCTGCAGGTCCGTTCCCAGTCCGCCACCGCCTAAGCCACGACTGTCACAGCCGGGGTGGCTCATGCTCTCCCCACTCTCACTCCAGCCATCCCACCACCCCCCAGGGCTCACTCCCGTGCTTAAAACTTGTCAAGGGCTTCTTTCTTCTGGCGCAGATTTAAGGGCCTTCACAATTTAACCTCCACAAACTTCCCCATCTTTTAATGGATCCGCTATCCCTCTGTGCCTCCGGGCCTTTGCACCTACCCTAGCCGTCCCCTGCAATGTGCTTTCCCCTCCCCCTGCCTGACAAATGCCTTGTCATCCTGCAAAGTCTGGCTTCAGTGTCCTCTTCTCCGGGAAGGCTTCTGGGCTTCCTACTCCAAGATGGAGCTACCCTCTCCCTCCACTATGCTCACAGCCTTCTACTAAGGCACTATTACTAGAATCACAGTCATTTCGGTGTCTGCCTTCTCAACATAATGTGCTGTCAGAGCAAGCACCTCCTTCAAGAGTTTTGTCTCATGATCCCGGAAACTGGCTCAGAGTCGGTACTGAATGACAGCAGTTGCACAAAAAGGCAAAGAGACCCGTCATGGTGCGAACCTCCTCTCATATTCTCGCAGGTGATCACGAGAACATATTGTGCTACAGGTGTTCCATCACCAGTTCCAAAGGGTGGGTGTGTGTAAGGCAGGGGCAGGATGTCCCCACCCCACCAAGCAATCAATGGTCCAGACATGAAGGTGTCCTTCAGTTCTGCTCAGGCCTGACGCGTCTAGCCGGAGATGGCAGCACACCCCACAGGTTAAGGGTTCGGTCCTACAAGGCTTCCCCCGACACCCCCAACACACACACACACTTCAGACGCCACTCACAAGTCCAGCTGTCACCTGTGCTTCCGACTAACCGGCTATACATCAGAGGTGCCAACGACCCCCCTCCTCGGGTTCGATTAATTTACTAGAGCGGCTCACGGAACTCAGAGACATTTTACTTACCAGGTCGCTGGTTTATTACGAAAGGCTATAACTCGGGAACAGCCAGATGCAGAGATGCACGGGGCAAGGGTGGGGAAAGGGCGTGGAGCTTCCATGCTCTCTCCAGGCTGTCTCTCTCCCAGCGTTCACCAACCCAGAGGCTCTCCAAACCCGACTGTGGCGGGGCTTTATGGAGGTTTCATTATAGTCATGGTTGACTGAATCACTGGCCATTAGCGCTTAATTCAACCCTCTCCCCTCTCTGGATATCAGGGGGGTGGGACTCAAAAGAAAAAGGGCAAACACCAAATATATATTTCTCCTTATAAATCACAACATTACAGGGGCCAAGGACTCACCGGGGAACACTGGGCCCGGTTTCACACAAAACCCTTTTGGGTGGTGAGCAAGGCATCTCAGGATCATTATGAAGCTGGAGAGAAGAAAGCCTGGGCAATCATTTCTGACACACTTGGAGCACACTAGCGGGCTGTGTGGGTACAATAAAGTGTGTTTAAATGGCTTCCTTTCCTAACAGGGAGATAGACCATACTGTTTATTTAAACAAAGATGGCACAAATGGGATGGAGGCCTCACGGCCAGAGCCGAGTGTCCCACGTCTGTGCAGGAGCCAACGCCAGAGACCCCAAGCCCGTAGGCGAACAACCACGATCTTCAATAAACCAGAGTGTTTTTGTTTCTGTATGTAGCTTTTGAGAGAGAGGCAGTACGGAGGAAAACAAGCTGTGATGACGGATTCAGTGAAAAAGATAAAAGTACAACTTCCAGGGCATGTCTTGAGGCCAGTAAACATTAAGCCGTCTCCCGCAGCTCCTGTTGGTCCCAAAGAGGAAAACCTATGTTTGCATTAATGACTGAGCCACTGCAAGTGCCTGAGTCAAGGAGGAAAAGAGATTTAATTCTCTTCAGAGCAGTTTACACTTAAGGTCTTAATAATGTCCATGGTATAAAATGACAAACTTGCCACTTAACCTTCTGTTCTCAAAACATAAATCAAACCATGACTCATTCAACCCAAACCTTAGCTAGGTGGCCAGGTAAGGGGGTCCCAGTCTCCCCTCCCCGCACTCATGGGCATACAACACACACACATGCGCGCGCACGCGCACGCACACACACACACAGACACGAGCCTAAATCCCTCTCCCTAAGATCCAGACACACCCCGCATGTCTGATGTGGTGGCATCTATTTGCTTAAGTTCAGCTGCATGGGAGTCAAAGGTTCTAAAAACAAAAAGGAAAGATTGGAGCGGGGTGGGGGAAAAGAGGCCAGATCTGTTCTAATCCTTAGCCCAGCTCTGGGACCTGTACCTGAGCCCTACTGCAGAAGAAACAGATCCTGTAGGTAGAAAATGAAGGACCTCTTTTCATGAGGATCTCTGTGAGCAGAGATGCTTTGTTGACCAAGAGTGAGGCAGAGGAGAGAGGCCTTCTCCCACCTGTCTGAAGCCAGCGCAGCTCTGGCCCCTAGAACACTCAAGGGGGCAGTGCCGCTCCAGCACCTGAGCGCCATCCCCGTCCCCAGCACTCTCAGGAGGGGCGGGGACACGGCAGGGACAGAGGGGAGGCAGCACCAACCAAAGGGGCTCAGCAGAGATGATGCTGCGGCAACTGTCACGATCATGAACACACATAAGGCCCCTCCCTTGGGACCCCCCAGAAGTGACGGCTGACGCTTTGCAGAGGGCCAAGGTCTTACATGAGGAGCTAGGGTGAGAGCCAGGAAAACCCATCCTGTGGTTGTTGATGTGAACGCTTCTGCTCTCACAGGCGAGTGAGGCTCAGGGAAACTCAGATTACACAGGATTTTTTTTTTTTTCGTGGTTGAGAAAAAAATTTTATTTATACAGCATACATATAAGTTAAAAAGTGGCAGAATGTTAACAATTACTGAATCTAGATACAGAATACATGGGCGTTCATTATACTATTCATTCAAATTTTCTACGTATTAAAATATTTCATAATAAAAAACTGGAACATAATAAAATTAAAAGGGGCCTAAATGCAATGAGGTACCCAAGAACAGGTCCCTGAGACAAAAAAAAAAAAAAAAATACATTAGTAGAAAAACTGTTGAAATCTGAATAAAGTCTGTACTATAGTTAATATTATTGTATTAATGGTAATTTCCTAGTAAATGTGCCATGGTTATATAAGATGTTAAGAGAAAGCCGGATAAAGGGAACTCCCTATACCACCTTTGCAAATTTTCTGTAAATCTAAAATTATTCCAAAATTAAAAGTTATTTTTAAAAGGGGGCAACCAGTATATAAAAGCTAGATGTTTTCATTGATTTTTTTGACAGAATACATGAAATAGGACTACTTCTTAATAACGCTAGTCAATCAATAAGGAAAATAAGTGATCAGTAACACAAAACGTCTGACTGTAGGTCTTCCAAGAAAGGAAAAAGGACTAACAAACAAGAATACAGTACTTTACCATTTACAGATCTTTCACATACATTCCGTGTGACCCTCACAACATCGCTGTGAGGTAGGCAGCACAGATATTATTCCCATTTAACAGATGAGGAAAGTGAATCTCAGAGCAATCAACTGATGTGCCCAAGGTTCTACAGTTAGTAAATGATTTGTATTCATATCAGTCTTTGGCCTAAAAATTCAGCACCCCACCTCCCCTCATACTTGCCTACCTACTTCACAGGGATAACGAAGATAAAATGAATTCAAGGCTAGAAAAATACTTTGAGGGAAATAATTTTCCACGATATATGGCTCATTCCCCTTCTTGTCCCAGCTTGCGCGTAAACACAGAATTTTATGTTGCCTCTGTTCTGTGTTCAGCTAAGCAGCTAAGTAAGACGGGGGAACAGTGTGATCCTCTTTCAAGTTACATAAATTACAATCAGGGTAACTGCTATTACAGCAAGTTGAAAAACAACACAGAAAGGCCAATGTGCAACTACACAGGATTTATTGTACCCTTATTTTCATCATTAATTATTCAAGAAATAAACTGCGTCAATGCTTTTATATACTGCAGGAACTCAATGACTGCTTACAGCTCAAACAAAGCGTATTTCATGATTTAAGTTGATGTATGTAGATTTCTATTCTTTGTTTGAAGTACTAAAACAAAATGGAACAGTGGATCAAACCTAATAAAGCTATTTATCACATATCACCAGCGGGTAGCTTGAAATTATATTAGAATAAAGAGTTACTGGGAATTTGCAACTCTGCAAACACATGCTTTCAGTAGAAACTAAGCACTTTCTTCTGAGTAAATCAAGTAAAGGGAGATCCCCCACAGACTGAAGGAGGGGCTTCTATAAAATTGGAAATTGGAGAGTCAGTTCAAATGAATAACACCCCTGTATTCAAAGCAGTACTTCTACTACTGTGCCTTTAAAACGAAGGATTATCCCAGAGGGAAGAGTGGGAAAACCGTACACTGATCCTCTGTCTCTCCATCATTTACACAGAAAGATTAGAAACAGAATAAAGTCAGAAGCTCCCCAGACGTCAAACATCAAATACACCATCATGTATAAAACAGATAGCTAGGGCTTCCCTGGTGGCGCAGTGGTTGAGAGTCCGCCTGCCGATGCAGGGGACACGGGTTCGTGCCCCGGTCCGGGAAGATCCCACATGCCACGGAGCGGCTGGGCCTGTGAGCCACGGCCGCTGAGCCTGCGCGTCCGGAGCCTGTGCTCCGCAACGGGAGAGGCCACAGCAGTGAGAGGCCTGAGTACTGCAAAAAAAAAAAAAAAAAAAAAAAATCCCAGATAGCTAGTGGGAACCTGTGGTTAGCACAGGGAGCTCAGCTCGGTGCTCTGTGATGAGCTAGATGGGTGGGATGGGAGGCAGGGGAGGTCGTCCAAGAGAGAGGGGATATATGTATACATATAGCTGATTCACTTCATTGTACAGCAGAAACTAACGCAACATTGTAAAGTAATTATATTCCAATAAAAAAATAATAAAGTGGCTGTCGATAGCCGAAAAATCACTTAGGA